AACCTACAAAGAACTCAAACAAATTTACAAGAAAAAAACAACCCCATCAAAAAGTGGGCAAAGGATATGAACAGACACTTCTCAAAAGAAGACATTCATACAGCCAACAGACACATGAAAAAATGCTCATCATCACTCGCCATCAGAGAAATGCAAATCAAAACCAAAATGACATACCATCTCACACCAGTTAGAATGGCAATCATTAAAAAATCAGGAAACAACAGGTGCTGGAGAGGATGTGGAGAAATAGGAACACTTTTACACTGTTGGCGGGACTGTAAACTAGTTCAACCATTGTGGAAAACAGTGTGGTGATTCCTCAAGGATATAGAACTAGAAATACCATTTGACCCAGCCATCCCATTATTGGGGATATACCCAAAGGATGATAAATCATGCTGCTATAAAGACACATGCACACGTATGATTATTGTGGCACTATTCACAATAGCAAAGACTTGGAATCAACCTAAATGTCCATCAGTGACAGACTGGATTAAGAAAATGTGGCACATATACACCATGGAATACTACGCAGCCATAAAAACGGATGAGTTCATGTCCTTTGTAGGGACATGGATGCAGCTGGAAACCATCATTCTCTGTAAACTATTGCAAGAACAGAAAACCAAACACTGCGTGTTCTCACTCATAGGTGGGAATTGAACAATGAGATCACTTGGACACCGGAAGGGGAACATCACACACCGGGGCCTATTGTGGGGAGGGCGGAGGGGGGAGGGATAGTATTAGGAGATATACCTAATGTAAATGACGAGTTAATGGGTGCAGCACACCAACATGGCACCTGTATACGTATGTAACAAACCTGCACGTTGTGCATATGTACCCTAGAACTTAAAGTGTAAAAAAAAAAAAAAGAAGTGTGCTGTTTAATCTACAAATATTTCTGGATTTTTGAGCTTTGTTATTAATTTCTTGTTTCATTCCATTGCAGTCTGTAAACCTGCTTTTGTATAATTATTATTCTTTTAAATTTTTAATGTATGATGTATGGCCAAGAATGTGGTCTATCTTAGAAAATGCTCCATGTGAGCATGAGAAGAATGTGTATTTTGCCTTTGTTGGATGGCATATTCTATGTGTCAATTAGATGAAGTAGATTGATAGTGTTGTTTAGGTCAGTATTTCTTAATTTTTGACTGTTAGTAATCCCATTTTTTTATCTCTCTTTTCCTTCCTTTTATTGTATATAGTCTTACTTTCATTATATGTCTAAACACAACTTTCTTTCTGCCTTCCTCGACCCCTGTTGTGAATAGTTTCAGCTTCCTTTAGAACTCTTTGTACCATAGTGCACTTAGGGGGTGATGTTCACATAGAAGATGAAAAGTTACTGATTGACTGAAATGTACCAAGGTGATCCCTTCAAATCAAGAAGGAAGCAGAGGTATTCCAGCACACCACAGGAGTGCTGGTTTGAAAGGCTGACTGGTATCCAGTAACGGTCTCTAGGAATTTTATTACCAGAGACTTGTATTGGTTCTTCTAAAACATGGTCATTGTATTAGCTTCCTAGGGCTGCCATAACAAAGTACCACAAACAGAGTGGCTTGAAACAACAGAAATGTATTATTTCATAGTTCAGAAGGCTAGAAATCCAAAAGTCCAAACTCTAAAGTAAAGCAACCATTCTCCCTCCAAGGGCTTTAGGGAAGAATCTTTCCTCACTTCCTTTAGCTTCCAGTGATTGCAATCTCTGGTGCACCTTGGCTGATAGCAGCTGCATTACTCCAATCTCTGCCTCTGTTGTCATGTGTCATGTACTGCCTCCTCCCTGTGTGTCTCCTCTGTGTCTCTGTGTCTGCCATGGCCTCCTTATAAAGACACCAGGAACTGGATGTAGGGTCCACCTTGACACTACTAAACCCAGTAGAGTCCTCTTACTGGGTAACAAAAATTGTCATGTAGAAACATTTTATTGGGGTCTCTAACTTTTTCTCGGGGAGTTCCCTAAAAACATTTCCAGAATCCATAGGAAATTCACACAGTCAGGGAAGCTGAAAGCCAAAGCTGACACTGAGCATCCTCACCGTGTTGTGTAGCCAGTTTATCCCTTCTAGTTTTACATATCCCCAGTCACCACCCCTAAGTGGAACACAGCCTGCAAATCTTTCATCTTTCCATAGACCCCATTTTCTCACCAGAAATTATGTTCTTTAAGTGGGGAAGCATTCTTATTTAATCTACTAGTCCAGACCAGAATGTGATAAGAAATACTATTACTCTTGTAAGAGTAATAGAAACGAATAAAAATGCATTTTAAAAGGCACCTTCTGGAGCTGCATTCACTTGAATCAAAGGCTGGCCCTGCAGGGTTGGCATGGCAGCAGCTGCTAGAGGAGCGGCTCTGGAGCAAATGGGCATATTCGCCTTTCTGACTCTGCCAAGTAAGTGGTTTCCTACCTTGTCTGCATTTCCAGCTGACTCTGTTTTCCAACAGCTTGTTTGTGTGTGGGTGTGCATAATAATTATTACAAAGAGAGGTGGCTGTCTGCCATCATTAGCATAATATGTGCTGGAGACAATTTGCCATGAATAAAGTATGTCCTTTTATATTTCACTGATTTTTTATGCTCAAAAGATTTTATCACATGATTTTTTAAAATGCATACGTAAGATAAAAATACCATTTTGTAGATACTTGAATCAATAAAGTTCTTGTAAAAAGAACAGTTGTTGAATGACAAAGGAAAAAGATGATTTCATTTTATTACCTAGTTCTGGAGCTGCTATTTCACAAGTATTGATGTTTACGTGCATTCTAAATGGAAAAAGAGCCATGGCAAGGAGCCATGAGAATACAGATAGAAAACGTCATGTTATGTAACTATTATTTTTCTGGTTTAAAGAAAAATTGGATTTGATCTATTTTTTCCATCTACTCATATGGTTAAAATACATTTTGATTTCACCCAGTTTTTATTGTGCGAATTGGGAATACACATGCATTCTTGTCTATACAATTATTTCTGCACTCTTGCTCTTTAAGGAAGATAGGATGTTAATTTTATGGTACAAAAAAGGAGGATCCAAGGAATCCGATTTGCCCTGTCCTGGGTTACACAAATGAAACTGCTGTTGAACAGAAGGAAGAGTGAGCAGGCCAAACACTCAAACTCTCAACACAAAGGCTTGTTCACCCTGAGGAGTGTCATGCCTCCAACCTGCACTGATGCTCAGATGGTTCCTGATGTTATACAAACTCTCACCATCAAAAGGAACAGTGCTGTGGAGATTCATGGAAAAAGGCCAGAATCACAGCTGTGTGCTTCCTGTTTTTGAGGTTGAATTCATGCACAACTGATAGCATTCAAATCTCATCTCCTGTGATGAGCACAGACAAAATGAATTGTTTTTGCTTTAAAAAGGACACTTTTTCATTTAAGTCAGTGCAAATCTTTTAGCTTTCCAATGCAACTCAAGATTCCGCTTATTATAAATGGAAAAGTCTGTCATGCTTTGGCATTTACATTGACACAATATCAGAGCATACTGTTAGGAGGTATTTTATTTTGTTTCAACTAACTTATTTCATGGCTGCACTTAAAATGCCGTGCATACAACAGGAGCGTCAAAAGCTTCAGATGGTAATTTTTAGTAAGAAATGGTCATGAATAAAGACAAACATAAAGCAGAACAAAATAAGATATTCTTTCCTTTCTTCATTTGGAATTCAAATACTCTTAAGTTCTTGGATTTGGCTTTCTTTATATTTACAAGTATGTATGAAATACTGGTTTCAAATAAGATCTGTTCACAGCCCAGATTACTGAGCCCCAGCTACAATTAAATATTGATCATTTACGTAGTGTTTTAAAGAAGTACATAAATTCTGGTTTTGACAGTTTGGATTTAGTCATAGAGAGTGGAGGCATCCATTTCCTCATACCGGATGATGATTTATGCCTGAGTACATATGTTTTAAAATGTTGGAACGCTTTCATATGTTGGAACAATATTGATCCAGGAACAACAATCCTGGACCTTTCCTCTTTCCTCCTCACTATTATTTTAGTCCCTCGTGCCAGCATCTATTTTTAAATTGAAATTTTCAATCAGGGTCTAGCCCAGAGGGTCTGGAGGGTTCTCACACAAGTTTTTCAGGTGAGGTGAGAAATTTTCAAGCATGCTTCATTGTTAGGGCCTGATTTGGATTGACTCCTGTCTATAAGAAGGGAGAATTATCTTTGTCTTTTTACATTTCCCCTCTCCTCTCTCTAAAAAGGGGAGAAAAACAAGCTAGGTTTATTTATTTATTTTTTTTTACCCTTGGCAACAATTCAATTCAAACGAGTTTACTGAGTGTGACTGTGTCTCAGGTACTGGCAATACAAGGACAACAGGGCTGTCATGGATCCTGCTGATAAGGTTCTTACCACCTAGCCAGAGGAAACAGATGCTCAAACCTGCAATTCCCGTGTGTGTATTCAGGGGTGTGGCTGGGCAGTGCAGGTGCTGACGGTGCACATGGCAGGACCATCTACTCTGGACTTGATGGGTCAGGAGGCTTTTCAGGGGAAGCTGTGTCTCAGCGGAACTGGAACATAAGCAAGACTTAAGTCACATGAAGAGAGGGTGGTGAAGATAGTAAGAAAGTTATAGGAAGAAAGGGCTGGAGAGAAGAGCATGACAGGTGAAAACCCTGAGGTTAAATGTCACTTCGCTAGGGGTTGGGGGTAATAAGAGGAGATCAAACAGAGGGTGGAGAGGGGAGGCCAGGTTGTAAAAGGCCTATGAACTACTTGAGGAATTTTAAATTTGAGCAAAGCAGTTAGGACAGTCTTATAGTCATCTATTTTAAGTATGTGTCTTGATTATGAGTGAAAGAGGTTACCATTATTGATTAAAATAGCTAAAAAATTGTCTGCATCTTGTTCAAATATTTTAAATATCATAGAATATTCAGAGATTCAAATGTAAAGATTCCTACGGTAAATTTCTCTTGGAATTGAGTGTGAAAAACTACCACCAAATATTTATACGTCCTTTTATTGGAAAATCAAAGCTGGAAAACTCAATGATTTTGCCTTATGAAAACTTAAAAACATTTTATTTTGCAGTTCTTTGAAGTATCAAGTATTTACAATTTGTTTAAGAGTTTGGAAGTTTTAAAAAGTTTTCTGGTGAAAATCTTGAGTTTAATTTTCACCAGAAAACCTGCTAGACAAATTCTAGAAGAGCTGTAACACATATAATTTTTAATCTTTCTTTTCATTTTAGTTTTCTTGTTGAAAATCTTTTGATATTACTAACCATTCAGGATTTTCTCTAGAAGTAAATGGTTATAAATTAGGTATATACCTTAAAATAGAAACAACACTTAAATTTCCTGGGTCTTATGTTTTTAACCAGTAACTGCAATTGATACTTTCATAAGAAGAATTGTTTGCTCAAGACAGAAATCCCAGCAAAAAGGAAAATCACACTTAAGTTTTTGAAATTAAAACATAACCAGAAGAATAACTGAATAATTATTCTTTACTGCTGTGGGAGTCAATCAATAGCCCAGAGGAACAGGTAGATGGATAGGTACACAGAAAGCTATCTGTACTATATCTTGAATATCAGCATAGTACTCTTTTCTGATCTTTGTGCTCCCCACACCCACCTTTCTCTCTCTCTCTCAAAATGGATTTTGCATGCTTTTTTCCATCATACACCATGGATATATATGCATCTCACTCTGCTCCCCAAAGAGTTAACATGAACAAGCATGCAATAGAAAAAGCAAACCAGGAATTCCCATGCCCTAACAACCTCAACACACAAATTCAACCATGTTGACAAAATGGGAAGGGAGATCCTGCCAAATTCATAAGAAAGAGAAAGTGGGAAGAGAGACAGTTTGTTACCAGGTCTCACCTGCCTTCTTTGGACATGAACAGGTTTTTACTCTTTAGCTTCAACATAGGCAATAGCAGTTAGGCAAGATTCGAACATTATTTGAAATTGGACAAAAAGGATACAAGAGGCCGGGTATGGTGGCTCATACCTGTAATCCTGGCACTTTGGGAGGCTGAGGCCCAGCCTGGCCAACATGATGAAACCTGGTTTCTACTACAAACACAAACATTAGGTAGGCATGCCTATAATCCTAGCTACTCGGGAGGCTGAAGCAGAAGAATCGCTTGAACCCGGAGGTGGAGGTTGCAGTAAGCCAAGATGGCACCACTGCACTGGGCAACGGAGAAAGAGTCTTTCTCAAAAAAAAAAAAAAAAAAGAAAAAGAAAAAAAAAGTAGTTAAGAGAAATTCCTTAGGATGTTGTATATACAAGCTTTTAATATGGTTCTATCAAAATTTAGAAGGAAACGGAGATTTAATTTTTTAATTGAATTGGATATGCAGCACAAGAAAGTATATGCCAACTTTTTACTTGACTACACATTTCACATCTTCAGATAACATTCAGCAACTTTTTAATAACAACTTGAATATATTATATTTAAATATTTTGGTTATTTGTAGACAGTCTTCCAGCAACATAATTAATTTCTTCCCTTCATCAAAAATCTGTAACGAATTATTCTTTCAACTGAAGATTTTCCTCAGCATAGTAAGACTACATTTAAAATCTAAAAAACAAATGCCTCCCTACTTCATGCTTATTTTTAAAAGGAGGCCAAAAAATGATCTTTTCTGAATAAAGTGTTGCAGAAAGGCATAGAATACTTCAATATTATAGTAACAATTATTATAATAAAAGGATAGAATTCATCTCATACCATTCTATTACATGTTTCCCCTTGGAACAAACAAAATGTATCCTCCTGAGTTTAATTTCAAGTCTTTGAAAAGAATGCAGTCTTAAGAAATTAGATAGGAATTTAAGTTCTAATTCATAAAACATCACTTTCCCCCATGGAACTCGTTGAAAATTACATATTAACAGCACCCCTTTAATTTAATATTCTAAAAAAACAGCATCTAAAAAAAAAATAAAGAAATAGTGAGCAGGAGGCCAGTCTGATGACAAATTACATTAAACAATATCATTATCCTTAGCCCTCATAGAGTGCTTTCCATTTTCCAGATGTTTAAAAGACACAAAATGAAAACTCTCAATTGCCCAAGAGGTAGATGATGAACTCATTTTCCAGACAGGAAACTGGGGCAATGAGATACTTTGCCATAGAGTATAAAAATGGTCATCAGCAGAATCAAGATTAGAAGCAGAAACACCTGGTTACAATGTACACATTGCTGCTCAAAACACATCAATAGAATGTCAGGAATAATGCTGGTTCTTTCTTGCAACCCGTATTCCTTCTTGCTATATGACATGCAGAGCTGACAAAAGATGGAAGCTCTATTTAAAGTTGATGGCACGTCTATTCTCCAATGTCAAATCCGTGAGAGCAACATGAGGAATGATTATTTACAGTGTCATCATCAGACTCAGGAATGTCGTCTGTGTTGAAATTACACAGAATGCATTTCAGTAAAAAGATCAAGACATGGAAAGCAAAATTAAAGGACAGCTAATGCAAAAATACAACATCAATTCAATAGTTCTACCGATATTCCCTACAAAGAGATGTTTTTAAATACAATTAAAAATAAATAAACAACTGTATTTGAAATTTAGCACATCTCTATGCCAATGTCAGCCTTCATCTGCACACCCTTAAATTAGGAGGGAGTAGGCATAGAATAGTTTTGCTGCATATTATGTTGAAAACATCTCTTTCTAGAGTACAAAAATATGTTCTTATCCACTACAGATAATTTATCAAGCTTTTCAACTATATTAAACACTCAAGAAAATTCGATTATTTCACCTAGCAGTGGTATTGGCCAAACAGGTATGGTGATGAGACTGGAGATACACTTGGTGGGAGATGCTTTGCAGGAGGTGCAGGAAGATAAACAGTGGCATTGTTCTTTAGGTACATGAGAATGATGTCCATTGGTGCCAATACCACAGTTATTGTGTGAGTAGCCAGTACATTAGGGACACACTAACATAGACGACACACAGCGTTATCCAGTTTATTCTTGTGATTGGCGGCCTGCAGTTACCCGTCACATGGAGGATGACATTGGAAGAGAGAGTGCCGCTAGGGTTTTGGGCCTGAGCCACATAGAGGCCTTCGTCTCCCTTGCATACCTTCGGAATGAACACGGAATGCCTTGTCTCCTTGTGTAAAACCTGTAAGTGCCCATCTGTAGACAGTTTCTGGCCCTTCTTGTACCTGAAGCAGAGAGGCAGTTTTTAAAGTCAGGATTGCTGTTCATTCACATTATTTCCAAGTTCTAATAACGGTTGCAAATAGGCCTATTACCACGCAATATTCTCTAGGATTAGTAGGAACATTGTAGCCACAACAAATTCCAGTGGGGCTCTTTATCTTTTTTTCTTTAGTAGGCTAGAGTGCAGTAGCAGAATCAGAGATCACTGCAGCCTCAAACTCCTGGGCTCAAGCAGTCCTCCCACCTCTGGCTCTCAAGTAGCTGGGACTACAGGCGCCTACTACCATGAGCAGGCTAAGTTTTTCATTTTTCATTTTTCTTAAGAGACAGGATCTCACGTGTTACCCAGACTGGTCTTGAACTCCTGGTTTCAAGCAATCTGCCTCCCTCAGCCTCCTGAGTAGCTGGTATTATGGGCTGTTTATCTTTCAAGCTGAAGTTGGCAACTGGTGGGGAGAGAATTGCTTCGACTGGCTCAGACAATGTTTTTGGAAAACTGAATTTTTTGAAATCCTTTAAAAATTGGAATATTGCAAATGAAAATTCAGATATACAGCTACATCTAAAAACAAAAACAAAACAGACCATCTGGTCACATTAGGCCACCATTTGCTTATAGTAACAATTATCTAGGGTGTGAAATGGCACCCTCATGTTGTCCAGCTTTATTCTTTTTGCCACTCTGGAACAGCAGCTGGGACTCCTCAGAAATTGTATTGGAGTGAGACTCATCTACTCCATCATATTCATACCATGATATCCACACGACAATACAGATGTGCTGTTTTAGAGGACTGGACTTAACATCACCTCCTGATGAAATCACTTCATTTAATTTTTTTAAAGCAATTTCATTAGAAGAAAATGGCTTGTAAATATAAAAGGTATTTATGCAACTGGATTATGACTAATAACATATTTCTAAAAGTTTCCTATGAACATGAGTGCTTAACTGCATGTTTTTATAAAGCAAATAGTTTATTTTGTATATCTGAGATTCTTGTTTATTTATTTATACCCACAATCAACCACTCAGGGGGGATGACAAATCTGAATCGTCTTCTGTTCCCATTGCCTAAGTGATAACTTTGCCTTTTCCTGGGTGTCCTAAAAATGTATGATATCCTGAAAGCTTGTCAGTTACTATTTGAGCACAGTTGTAAATCTGATGGCAAAACATTTGTTTACAACACTGTGATATTCTTCAACAACATGTAAGTAGCAGTGGTTCTTTAACCACATACACACTAACCAAATTATTAATATTTACTGTGTGGACAAAAACAAGAAATACATCTGACAACATTTTTCTTTGGAGTGAACTGAGATTTAATAATGAATTAAATATTTTTAAAATTCATAAATATGACACTCCTGATTTGTAAAAAAACATGCAATAATAAAGACAATAAAACAAAAAGCAAAAGTGACCGCACTAACATAGCACAAGTGCAGTTTCTTTTAATAATTTGAGAAACCAGAGTTTTCTCATAAGTTCCTTAGATAACTGGTTCATATTTCAAGTACCATTAATGGGCACACACAATAATCGAAACTGATCATTTAATATCTACTGAAATATTGTGATCAATAAATGCTATTTTACTTAATCTTAGTTTATAAGTATAAACTAGGTCTCGCAGATTTGTAACTTTGTCCTCAAATAAATTTACTTAAGGATGAGAATTTTCCAAATGTTTAAAAGTAACCCACATATTGAGAAAGAACTGCTTTTGTTACCAACAGTAGGCAATCCAAAACCAGTATTCTACAGTTTGCTTTTACTGAAACAAATAGGCTAAAAAATAATGATGTCTCCAGAGTGAAATCATATCGTTCACAGCCCAGTTATTATACTACCTTACAAAAATGAGTTTATTGCCTGTCACCTGGAACAACTGTGACAGAAATATTTTTATTCCATCTCTCATATTGAAAACATTTGTAAAAAGAAATCCTAGTAAAACAAAATGTTACAAAGATGACATGTGTGACTCTGCTGGAAAGAGGAAAAAGATGAAAGAGGTAAATGAGAGAGAAGGGGAAAAAACCAAATTCTTGTATTTTTCAATTGCATAAAGGTAGTTAAAACAAGCAGATGCCATGCTTATATAGAAATAGACAATAGAAAATAATTTCAACCCACAATCTTTAGAAATGTGGAATGTTTAACACAGAAAAAAACAAGCACAACCAACCTACAGTGCTTTGGAAATTTGTTAAATTATTAGTACTTTATATGGTTACCTTTTATTTTTCTTAAAGGTATTAACTATGCTGCTTCTAAAATGAGAGTGGTCTGATGTGAGATTGAATCATGCAGAGTTGCAGTGTCATAGAATATTAATCAGCTAGCCCTAAACCTTTCAGTTAGTGCTCACAGAATGATTTTTCTCTGTGACTGAATTTGTTTCCATTTATGGCTTGTCATTATAGGCTACCCACCATGTCAGTGTAGGCTCTGGAAATCCTGTTACTTCAACTTCCAAAGTCACTGGAGAACCTTCCATGACAGTTACATTAGACAGGAGCCTGGAGAAATTAGGTGCCTGGTCAGCTAGGCTGACCACGCTGCTCTTTGCTGACGTGCTTTTAATCTCTTCTCGAGGAACCATTTGCCTCTGATAGCCCCTGCTGGTGCCTGATTGAAACCTGAGGCCTGAGAATGCATCAGGGGAAGCATGCAGCCTATCTTGGATTTTAGTGAAGTTATTATCAGCATGCATTTTCTCCCGTGTTTCTAGCAAACCGCCCTGAGCCTGAGGGTGCTGCTGTAAAGCTCTCTCATGCACTTCACTCATCATGCTCTCTGGATGTTCAGCACTGATTCTGTGTAAGGCAGTACTCTTTTCCAGGAATCCTCTGGAGGTTAGTGGGGGCTCGGCTTTGAACTGGAGGTAGGGCCTCTCAAAATGACTTGAAAATGTTTCTCTCTTATCATTGCATGCATCCGCAAATGCAACAGGTGGTGGAAGAACAGATTCCCGGGCATTCCCTGGGCTGCTGGTCCCAGCCTGCACCGCATAGCTGCCTATGTGAAGGCTGAGGGAGGAGCTGACAGGCTCTTCCACCTCCATGTCAGATGGTGCAAGGGGGGACTCAGGGCTTCCTGGGAGAGGAGGCAAGGAGATGTCATCAGGTGAGACACACTCATATTCTTCCCCTGAGAGCATGTCTTCAGGCAGGAGCAGGCCCTGGACGCCACCCTCCTTGTCAGCGGACACCTTCAGGTCTTGTGGGAGCCGATCTTCCCCTGTTCCATTGATGGCCAAAAGATCTGCCACCTGTACCTGCCCCTTGAAAACAGAAAAGCCAAATCATCCTTATTCATTCATTTTTCTTTTTCCAGTTTCAATTACAGTAAAACTCAACTTCAGAGAGACAACCTGAGAAAACCTACAGGGGGTGAAAACTTAGGGGGCTGGAGGAAAACCATTTGTCTGTCTATCCTGAGCACAGTCCCACTTCTCATGACTAAGGACTCATTACAAAGACCTCAAGTTCTGAATAAAATGTGATAGACCTTGTGAACAGAAGAGAGAAAGTCCTAGTTTCCATCTGTAGTGAAGGGGTTGGACTGGATCAACATCTTTCTTTTTTTTTTTTTTTTTTTTTTTGAGACGGAGTCTCGCTGTGTCTCCCAGGCTGGAGTGCAGTGGCGTGATCTCGGCTCACTGCAAGCTCCGCCTCCCGGGTTCATGCCATTCTCCCGCCTCAGCCTCTCGAGTAGCTGAGACTACAGGCGCCCGCCACCACGCCCGGCTAGTTTTTTTTATTTTTAGTAGAGACGGGGTTTCACCGTGTTAGCCAGGATAGTCTCGATCTCCTGACCTCGTGATCCACCCGCCTCGGCCTCCCAAAGTGCTGGGATTACAGGCTTGAGCCACCGCGCCCGGCCCGGATCAACATCTTTCAAACCATGATCTGAGGAGTCTCCTGAAACAGCAAAGTCAGCTTAGGTCTGGCTTTTCTACACTTCCTGTAAACACACAGATACTGAACACCAGCAAAGTCAGCTTAGGTCTGGCTTGTCTACACTTCCTGTAAACACACAGATACTGAACACCAGCAAAGTCAGCTTAGGTCTGGCTTGTCTACACTCCTTGTGAACTCACAGATGCTGACCATCAGAGACTCCCTTGTTAGGTGATTCCTCGGACCCTCCCAGAATAACCTGTCTTCTCTCTCAAGAAAACAATTCCTTTTTAAAATAAATTGTAGTGAAATATACAAAAAATGTACCACTTCAACCATGTTTAAGTGTGTGGTTCAGTGGCATTAAGTGCATTCACATTGAGTGTAACTATCACTGCCATCCATCTCCAGAACTTTTTCATTTTTCCAGTTGAAACTCTATCCACTAAACACTAACCCGCTCATATTCAATCTTCCCCCTGACTCAGCCTTTGTTAACTACCATTCTATTCTCTTGCTCTATGCATTTGAGCCCTCTATGTACCTTATATAGAGTAAGCAATTCTTCATGACTAGTTTTATTTTCTTAAAGTCCCTTAGTTTATTCTTGCATTGAAAAAATATTTATTGAGCACGTACTGCTATACACTAGGAACCATGCTAGTATTACAGGCATAATTTGGTGAATACAAGTAGATCAGTCTTTGCAGTTGAGGAGATGATATCCTAGTGGAGGAGGTAGATATTAATGGAACAGTCAGACATGATGGCCTTTCCCAAGAGAGCACATCAAGATACAATAGGAAAGCACCTGCCACTTGTCTCTTTGCTCCAATCGGAGTGTAGTTCTGCTAGGAGCTGTGAGTAGCAGTACTTCTTTCTCTGCTTCCACCGTCCTAGTCTAATCCACATCCATCTCTGGTTTAAGAAGAGGCTCAAATGTCCCTGTTGCATAGACTCAAAAGAACATTGAAGCTGAAAAGCGATCTCATCTATCCCCACCTGCTTGTTTTATATCTCCTTTCTGTGCCGTTCCTCAGCATTTTGGGTGGCTTCTTACTTAGTATGTACTGGTTTTTGTCCTGTAGTAACTGATGCATATAGGAAAGTCACCTTTGAGTGACTTGCCTTTGAGTTTTTGATTTTAGCCTGTAGTCCTGTTCTTGATATACACTTTGTAAGTGATTTTTAAGAAAATAAGGCCAGGTGCGGTGGCTCATGCCTGTAATCCCAGCACTTTGGGAGGCCAAGATGGGCAGATCACGAGTTCAGGAGATAGAGACCATCCTGGCTAACATGGTGAAACCCCATCTCTACTAAAAATGCATAAAATTAGCCAGGCGTGGTGGTATGCTCTTGCAGTCCCAGTTACTTGGGAGGCTGAGGCAGGAGAATAGCTTGAACCCAGGAGGCAGAGGTTGCAGTAAGCCAAGATTGCACCACTGCACTCCAGCCTGGGCAACAGAGTGAGACCGTCTCAAAAAACAAAACAAAACAAAATTAGCTAGGCGTGGTGATGGTTGCCTGTAATCACAGCTACTTTGGGAGGCTGAAGTAGGAGAATCTCTTGAACTCAGGAGGCAGAGGTTGCAGTGAGTCGAGATTGTGCCATTGCACCCCAGCCTGGGTGACAAGAGTGAAACTTTGTCTCCAAAAAAAAAAAAAAAAAAAAAAAAAAAAAAGTGTTTTCAAGTTGAAGAGCAGAAGCAAAACAATGTTGCTTCTACTATCCCACAGAGATGATCTCTCCTTAGAGAAACATTAACCCAGCTTAGAGAAAGTGGTTTCCTTCCGCCATTTAGTAAAAGTTTAAATTCTGAGTCTAAAACCCAGATGTTCTTAGAAGTTCCTCTCATTACAAAGAATACTAAAATTACTAATTGCCCCTCCCTCTTTTGGTTGTCGTTCCACAGCTTAGCTCGGTCTCTCTCTTCATGAAAGCAGAATGCTTATTTTCCTCCTTATAGGGACTTTGATCAAACACCTATTGTCTAAGAATCTCCGCTACAACATTCTGGCAGCCTCTATTTGAATACTTTTTCTGAAAGAGTACTTTGAGAATGTGCACCTTACTTGTGTTAAGAATATCTTCCTACATGTAGCAGAGATCTGCCTTCCTGCAATTTCCACCAATGGATCTGAATTGGCCTCCTGGAGCTACACAAAAAGTCCAGCTGCTCTCCAATTTTAACAGCTCTTTGACTGTTTGGAGTATTGGTCCTACAACCTGTCTAAGCCTCTTTCTCTGTACCAGACACTCTCAGGTCTTCTTCTGCCTCAACTCTGTCATCATTTTGGTCATTTCTGGGAGGTCCCACTCCTACTGGACCACAAGGTCCTTTATAGAAGAGCAGGGACATTTGTTGACTTGATGGCCTTCCAGGGGCAGACAATGAAAACTCCTTAATGACTTCGTCAGGTAACCTATGACTCTCCACAGAAGAATAATGTGTTACAATTGTCTGAAAATTTACAATAAGCTTAGGAGAGAAACTTGAATAAAAGTCCAGACCAGTCTCCCAACTCCTCAATCCCTGCTGGGGAGGAATTTATTTCCTAATTGAGGGTTTGGAAGAAGGAACTGAGCATGCTCAGATCTGTCTCTATGAGGCCCTCTCTTTTGGATTTGCCTTTCATGAAATGCATGGGTTCAGGTTGGCTCTAAGGCATGAAAATCCCCTGGAGGTGAAGTCTGTGGTTGTCTAGATGGGCACCCAAGTGGACTAGGTACACATTTAATCTATTTAAATCAGGCACGAAGTTTGGGGAAACCCACTAGAAAAGTTCAAGCCATCCAGCTTTAACTGGTTCCTGACTCCTGTATCTTACTTTTAGCTGGTACCAAACACAGGAAAGGAATCCAAGACTATCATTTTTTCACTTCGAACAATTCCTAAAATAGAAAAAGTACTTTCCTCGGAAAATAACACTACTCAATAATTTCTACTATCAATAAGAGGGAGAGAGTTTTCTCAAATCTTTTTCTGGAATCATTTAACTCCCCATTAAACATGTTTGCTTCTAGAGTTGTTTACTTTCCAGATGGTAAGTAATCAGTGGATTCATCATCTTCTTGACCTATATGATATGTTTTTATTAAGGTGATAGTATTAGTTCATTTTTTAAAATAAAAATCACATGGGACCATTGACTCATACTGGATTTGTAGTCAACTAAAATTTGCTACCTCCTCAGTCCATTAGTGCTATTGATGAAAATGTTGAACACTGCAGTGTTTAGAACAAAGTCAGATATCTCCACAAGACAGACTGTTTCCAAGGTTGATGTTGATGAACTACTTAACACTCGAGTACAATTATAACTTGGCCAAACCCTCATTCAGTGCACATTTCTCCACTTATCTTAAGAGAGCATCATAAGTGTGTTTATCAGATGACTTCTTGAAACCATAATAAATTATGCCTATGGCACTAATCTAGAATTATTCATTAAATAATCATCTCAGGAAACAAGATAAGGTGAGTTTAATATATATGCAAGTGGTTTTCTGAGTAAACCCATTTGGCTCTTGGCACTTCTGCTTTTATTCTTAAATGCAAAAATGAATGTATTAAATTATCGCAGGTACCTCAAAACTATGTACATCTATTATGTATCATATAAAAATTTTTAAGAAAATTAAAAACGCAAATAAGATTTTAGTTTTTAAGTCACTGTGGAATTTTATGGAAACATTATTTTATTTTATTTTTATTTTTGAGATGGAGTTTCACTCTTGTTGCCAAGGCTGGAGTGCAATGGCACAATCTCGGCTCACTGCAACCTGCACCTCCCAAATTCAAATGATTCTCCTGCCTCAGCCTCCCGAGTAGCTGGTATTACAGGCACCTGCCATCATGCCCAGCTAATGTTTGTATTTTTAGTAGACACAGGGTTTCACCATGTTGGCCAGGCAGATCTTGAACTCCTGACCTCAGGTGATCCACCTGCCTCAGCCTCCCAAAGTGCTGGGATTACAGGCATAAGCCACAGCACCCGGCCAGAAACATTATTTTAAAACTCACTGACCTATATTTCCTAGAACTGTCTAGTTTTCAACTACGAAAATGCTATCCAAACATTCACATATACTAATTATTTGTTAATATTTCTTCACCATAAAACCATGTTTGTTATTAGAAAAAAAAAGTGTGTGTTATTTACCCAGAAAAGGTTAAATAAATCTATGGTGTTCAGTACAGACAGGGCATATTTACATCAGTCTAATGAGTTCTGGCAAAATAGCTGGGAAACTCTGATCTAATTCACCAAAACATAGCTCAACTCTCAATCTGCTTTTCTTATATCAAATTGAGAGGCTGATCTTTGTCTTTTTGTTGATTCCTTTTTCTTTTCCCACCTTCTAAATATATGAATGGTCTGCAGCCTTATCTTGAAGTTCTCTAATTGTCTCTATATTCTTTGCCCCTCCAAGATCTCACCCACTTACATATCTAGTAAACAATTAACTTTTAATTAATACTAAATCTATAGCTTCAAGTCTTATCTCTGTCAGGACTTCCGAACTTTCATTTCTGCTCATGGGCATAATCCCTTGAATTTAATCATTGCCCTGTAGGCAGAAAAAGTGTCTGGAAGAGAGAATGCAGTGATATTCCTACATCCATTCAACTAAGGGGGCAGAACCAATCCTCAAAGTACATAGAGCAGGCAACTACTTATGTGGTAAATTTGAAGGAACACCACAAGACTTTATCTTCCAAAATAGCTCCATAACAGATAGCCTTACTTTAGGGTAAATAAGATTTAATGAAGGTAAGTAGGAAGAACACAAAGAAAGATATTAAGCATAGGACTTGGTCTGTAAGAGGCATTTGTAGAGAAGGCCCTTAGCGGGGGCTTTAGACAAAAAGGGGTAATATGGCATTTTTGGGCACTTTACGTGGACAAGGTAAAAGAAAAGGGAACAGAGAGGTGGTGAAGAAAACACTTTGTCTCTTCCCAAATTTTTTCAAGGCAAGTGTTTCAGGGACATCTTCCTGTACCTGCCAGGTGATCAGGATTAGTGTGTGTGTGTTGAGGGTAGAGGGGGAGTGCAGGGATCCTCCTTACCCAGTCTGATAAGAGCACTCCACTGAATTCTTTGGTGCAAAAATATTTCCATGCTATTGCTTGTAAACAGATAAATAGGAAGAGGGGAAAAGTTTGTCATGGACATCTACAGTATCATTACAAAACAGCTTATGTATATGCAACAGTTCCTGGGAGCTCCCATTTGGTCTTGTGGGAAAAGTGTATGGTTAAAATTCAGGAGAATTGGGGTGACTACCAGTTTTTACACTACTTTCTGTAATTTTTGGAGGGCAATATATTTAATCCCTTTTGGCCTCAGTTTCCTCAACTGTAAAATGATATTTGATCAGATTATTGTTAAATCCCTTCTAGCATTAAAATTCTATAACTCTAAATGCTGGCATCAAAAGCCACCATCTTCCACCGAATAGTTCCATGACTTTAGGTGAGCCTGTTAATACTGTGTGCTTCCATTTAATCTGAGGAGTTTTCATAGCTTCGGTGCTCACGTTGGGAATAAAACACCATCACTAATCTGTTAGCAGTGCTCCGTGTGTTACATTTAGTGAATTGCCTAATTCCACCTACTGCATTTTTGGGTCTGAAAAATGAGAAGTACTTTGCTATCTCCAGGAAAAAAAATCCCTGTGTTGAATATATTCTGTGGTAGTTCAGTGGAACTATTCTTTCCGACTCAAATAATTTCCTCAGGAAGGCTACCATCATTTAAGGGTATCAGAATTGACTGCAGTAATACCAGGACCAGCTTTTCACTTGGTGCTTCCCACATGGGGTTGTGGAGAATCATTACATCTGATGTACATATAAATAATAGAGACAATAAGAGGGTAAATGTGATTGAGCTACTTAAAAGTGAAGATTACTGCCACCCTTTCATTTGGCTGTCTACACCAATTGCACCAGGACATAACATAATGTTAATAAGAATTCTTGACAGCTGTAATTGTAGACCTTCACTTACACCTGAAATGACTGATGCTATATCTTTTTAGTTTATATTAGAACAAAAGTGATTTTTCCATGAATGTAAATCTTGCTTTTTTTTTTTAATTTAAAGGAATCTGTTTCTTCTAATAAGAAAATAAAAGCAAGATAAGCACTTTTGCTAAGTATAAATTATTTTTGTTTGCTTTGGTAACAATTTTTGTTTCTGAGTTCTTAGTAAATGTGTCTAGTTCACAATGTAGGAAATGTGCAGAACTAAATAAAATAAATGATAGGATGCTGAATTTAGTAACTCTTAGAAACCTTTTTAAGAAAATGTGGTGCATTTAAGGCTATTCTTTATTATGTCAACCAGTCATTCTCAATTTAAGTGATTTTAGTATAATAGACGCTACTGGCATCTAGTGAGAAGGGCCAGGAACACTGCTAAACTCCTACAATGCACAGGACAGCTCCCCACAATAGAGAATTCTGTGGCCAAAATGCCAGCGGTGCTGTGGTTGAGAAACCCTGATTTAGACCAATCAGAGTAACGTAAGATCATTTGATATAAGAGTAACATCCAGCAAAATGACCAAAGTTTGGCAGCTTTCCTTTGCCTCAGAGAGGAATTTGGGTTTAAGTGGCTCAAGACCCTACCACAAAAAAAGACAGTTTGCTTAACAGTACTTGCTGCCTGGTGGTTGTATAACTGCACCAGGCCTTGGCATAGATTAACCTGTGGGAAAGGACCTATAAGGAAGCTGAAAGAACTCTATTGACTTCAAGGAAAGATAAATCTTTCTCCATGAAATAACTACTACAAATGGAGAGGGTTTGTGTTTATTTTTAACTCTCATGTCACAAGAAGTATATTTTATTAATTTGAGAATGGTTGAGAATAATGTTGACTCTGATTGTTCCTTCAGCTCCTCGGTAGAGAAACACTGGGGGCAGGCAACTTGGCAAAGCAAAAAGTCAAAAGCTTATTATAGTCCAGCAGCGATGAATAGAGAGTGAGCAACTTATGCCAAAAAACCATCATGATGTTGTGATTTAAATAATACTTTCAAAATCATGATACATTTGCATTTTTGTGAGTATCTGTAGTCATTACATGCTTTAATTTATCAGTAAGTGCATACATTTTACAATAATTTAAACATTTCTCTAAATACTTTAGTATTTATATTTCAGCTGGATTCTATGGTTTGGTAAATGTGCCTGGAAATATCATCTTAGAGGTAGAGTCTATGGGAACAAGATACTATCTAATTTCATGAACTAAGCTTTGCTAATGGGTTGTGTAAAACAATAAAAATCATGGCTTGGAAATATGATGAAAAAGGAGAAGTAAAATTTGAAGTTGGATTGGATATAAAAAGACAATGGAAAAGGCAGCTAGAGATGGGAAAAACAGAAGTGGTTTGGGGTGACATGGCATTTAAATGGCTGTCCCAATGCTACTGTGAAATGTCACGGTTTCAGTACTTGATAGTGAGAAGCTCAGAGGAAACAGCATAGCAGAGAGAAGCAGCACTAAGTAAGGAGCCAACGGAAGCAAGGAAGGAGGAAACTCACATTGCATTTACATTGGGAAATTCTATTTGGATAGATAAGAAGGCTGCAATTCACTTTTATTTTGCAATGAACAATGACTCTAACCTCAAAGCAAAAGTACTGAATAGCTGAGGTTAAGTAGTTTTCTTTACCTTATTCCTTTCTTCATTGCATATTGTCTGCTTATTTTTTGCTGGTTCCTTTAGCAAGTCAATGTAATCATCATGGAAGTCTTCCAAATTTGGATTCATCTTTAAAACGTCTCCCTGCTGTACAAAGCAACAGTTAGTGAGAGCCTGAGCCAGGAAAGTTGGAGGAACAGTGCCATACACTACTTGGAAGAAAACGTAGACCACTTGCAACCTTTCAGCAAATACATTCCACAAGAGACTGGTGTACTCCCATGATGTGATTTATAAAATTATCCCTCCCAGCTCAGTTTCCCTCCTGCCTCATTCCTTTGATAGAGTTCATTGCCAGTAAAAATTGGTTGTTGAAAGGCCCAGCAGGAAAAAAGTAATCATTATAATAGGATGCTCCTGCAGGAGCATTCTCTAGAGAAAGGAATCATTATGCATGGCAGTGTAAACCATTAGGAGAGTCTGGGGAGCAGCAGTGAGGTAGAAATGATTAAAGGTTTCTAGGGGAGAAGAAGGTAGGAAATCCAGAGAATCTACACAAGCAAAATACCAGGGAGACTCTTGAAAAGAGGAATAAAATATCACTGAGTATAGTAAAGAAAAACAGCAATTGAGAACACAGACGCTTCATGTGGTTGAAGATATTTTGTTCCCTGCATTTATGGGGCTCAGTTTTAGTCATGGAGGTAGTGGAGGTTTGCAAAGTGCTGTGGAGTCAGTGCGAGAGCCAAGAAGACTTTGTAAAGGTGGAAAGAGCCACTGGTATCCCACGTGATAGAGCACGCCAGTTTAGAATGATGATCATACTGCAATGGAAGAGTCTTTATTCCACCTGGAATACGATCCTTGGAGCATGCAATACACATGCTCATCAAAATGCACATGCGACACTGGCTCGGAGGATTCAGGGAGACCCACTACTGGGGAGATTCTGCTTTTAGTCCCAACTCTAAACTGAACTGGTTCGTGTCGCTCAATGAATCACTCTGCTTTGGTATGCAGCTTTGGTATGCAGCTGATTCTAAAATATCAGCTGGTGTGGAAAGAATGCTAGATTTTGAATTAAATCTAAATTCAAATTTCAGATCTACCACTATTGACTATTGGGGCCCATGTAAAGCACTTTTACCCTCTTTGGAATTTTCCTTTCACCTCTACACAGAAAACATTTGCCTTCTTTTCATCTCAACATTATTTGGAAATCACTGGAGATAATGTATATATGAACGTCCTTTGTAAGTCTGAAATTGCTATACATTAGAAAGGATTTCTATCACTATTTCAGCCTTGACAGGAATTGCTGAGCCCACTTTCTATAACTTTGAAAAGAGAGCCATAGCATCAACCTTTATATTTAAAAACATAAAAAATAGACATTTGCTCTCTTCATACAAACACCTATAAAGTGCTGGTAAACATTCTTTGGCAAGCATTTGTTGCGGCTGTAACTCATAAAGATAATGCTGATGCCTATTTCTTTTACCAGGGAGACCCTTTCTCATTTCTACATCCACCCAAATTAAACACCTTCAAGCACTGAAAGATAGTTCTTCTCTGTACCAATTCATTGGGCATTTACTACAAATGCCAAAACTCTTTCTGGATAACCTGCTTTAAAAAGCAAAGCAGGCCAGGTATGGTGGCTCACACCTGTAACACCAGCATTTTGAGAGGCCAAGGAGGAAAGATCACTTGAGTCCAGGAGTTTGAGACCAGCTTGGGCAACATAGTGAGACCTCAACTTTACAAAAATATCAAAACATGTAGTGGTGCATGCCTGTGGTCCCACCTACTTGGTAGGCTGAAGTTGGAGCATTGCTTGAGCCTGGGAAGACGAGGCTGTAGTGAGCCACGGTAACACCACTATACTCCAGCCTGGGCAACAGAGCAACACGCTATCTCTAAATCAATCAATCAATCAATCAATCAATCAATAAAAGGTAAAGCATAATGTTAAATGTTGTGTGGGACACTAAATTTAGCAGCGCCAGAGGGTTTCCTTAAGTATAATCAAGTAGGGAGAGTTGGGATGGCAACAGTAGTTATATGTGATGTAATTATATGTAGTAGTTATATGTGTGATTATACTAGTGTTATAGCCTGAATGTTTATGTTCCCCTAAAGTTTATATGTTAAAATCCACATCCTTAAGGTGATGGTATTAGGAGATGATGCCTTTGGGAAGTGATTAGGTCATGAGGGTGAAGCTCTCATGAAGAGGATTAGTGCCCTCAGAAAAGAGGGCTGAGAGATACCCCTCATTCTTCCACCATGTAAGGTTAGAGTGAGTAGACAGCTACCAGGAAGTCCTCACTAGACACCAAATCAGCCAGCATCTTGATCTTGAACTTCCAGCCTCCAGAACTATGAGAAACAAATGTCTGCTTTTTATAAGGCATCTTGTCTATGGCATTTGGCATAGCAGTCAGGATGGACTAAGACAGGTAGGAAGGCACACAAGTGGCATGAGAGATCAGGGAGGGAGTGATATAGCTAAGGAAGGATTTATGGAGGAGGCAGCATTTGGGTTTGGCTCTGAGAGATGGTAAGATTTTGAAAAACAGACAGAAGGTCATGTCCTTGAAGTAAAGGTTTAGAAGTGGGAAATCCCAGGGAGCACAGTAGATCAGTAGGACACAGATCTACAGTGAATGTAGAAGCACAGTGGTTGGGAAAGGTGACCAGCCTCAGAACATTGAAAGGCCTTGAATTGGAACTTGACTTGGTAAGGAAGAGTTTGTAGTGGAGTGTTGTGAATGTGAAGATGACACTAGCAGAACTATTTAGGAAGGGTAATCTAGCTGGGAGTATAATTAGGGGACTCCTGGCTAGTGCAAAAGAGAATCCAAGTGACAGGTTGAGCGTGAGAAAGAGAGAATGCAATCCTGACTACTCTGAGTATGGAAGGAATGGAGAATAAGGAAGTGGGAGAGGCTGTGGAAACAGCCCTTTCAGGAAGAATAGCCATCAAGGTAAAAGCTGAAAAGGGATATAACTTGAAGAAAGCAGATTTTATGAAGCTGACCCTCACTTTAAGATGTGCAATATAAATGGGAGGAATACTGTAGACAATGAAGAGCAAAGAGTCAGAGGAAGTAGTGATTTGCAGCCTGTGTATTGGAAGTCAGAAGCAGCAGCAGCTCCTCAGGGGGTGGGATGGAGGTGGGGAGGAAAGGATAAATGTTGAAAAAGATAACATGAGATATATGGTTTATTATCATTGTGAAACATTGATGGGAAGCAAATAACATATATATTAGAATATTAATCATTTCATATATTAAACATTTCAGTTTTCTCAAACCTGATTGTAGAATTTATGTGTGGGTAATAATACAAAAGAAAGAAAAAGCTATGCACAAAGATGTTCATTGTGGTGTTATTTAAAATGGTAAAATGGTTAGAAAATCTAGATTCTTAACCAAAGGATAAAGATAATTTAGTTGGGCACCCACTGAATTAAAAGCCTCACAAACTATTTGAATGGAAGAGGCACATAAATTTACGACATAGAAATTCCTACCAAAAAAAAAGTGGCTACTAGAAATAAATATAATTCTGCTCTGAACTGCGAGACCACCACTAGGCCTCAATAACAATTATCCCAACAATAATCTTGAGTATCTTCACAGTCAATTGTCAGGGCTACCCTGGGATCCACTTTGTAGATCAGGAAATGGAGATTCAGGGAGATTAAATAATGTAACCAAGGTCACAAATCCAATTATTTAGGGAGTTGGTATTTCAAGGCAACTGTGCTTTGCTTTACAGCCTTTGACCTTAATGACCTTGCTATTCTGCCCATCCTCAACAACCAGTTCTTTCAGCCAGCTATGAAAACAGCATTAATCAAACCAGTTTGTGTCGTGACACTGACAAAGAAACATATGTATTTCACTTTAACTGGTTTTGCTTAGACATAAACACATTCTCTATATTTGTTACCATGAAATTGGTATTCTATGAAAAGTGATCATGATTAGTTTACTATTTCCATGAGGAAAAGTGTTCAATGAATATAATATCTGAAGATTAATTTTATTTTCTCTGGTGCCACAATTTGGAGAGGAAAAAAAAAACCACCCTGGCATCTATTATTTATGAATAAAACCATAGGCTACTTAATTATGAAACAAAACCATAGGCTACTTAATACAAAGTTTACTGGCAGAGTCTTAATGGGACACATTTTTTAGGATATGATCCATGAAAATGTAAACCAGACACCTTAATTGTGTTTAGCCCTCATTCCCAGCAATATTTTTCTCTGCAGTGATGGGAAAGAAATAGAATTAATTATCAGAAACACCCAGATAATTATGTTAGAAAGCTGTGAAACAAATGTGCACATTACGTCCCTTGAGAAATTCTATTAAAACGTCTTTGCACCAGAAGACATTTGATTAACACATTTTTATTTATTTTGCTTGAAAATACATATTCTAGGAAGAAGAAATTACCTTCAGTTTTTCTTCAAGCTCTGTGAGGGACTCACATAATTCAGTCACAGATTCAAGAACCTCTTTGTGTTTTGTCACTATTTTCTCAATATATTTCTGTCCTTCTTCCAAACCTGGGGAGAAGGATGAAACTAATTTTAAAGGTCAAATTTTTAGCAAGAAAAAAAGTCCAGGTATAAATTCATATCCATGTCCAGTGTAAGGGCTGATAGATTGTAAGTTCTTAATAAATATTTGCTGAACAGATAAATAAATGAATAAAGACATGTTTCTAAAAGCTAGATATTCTAGGAAAATGATTACATTTGCTGTACCATGCCACTTTCACATAACCTAAATAATGTTGCTACATGAATAGTCTTAAAGCTCAATTCTCCTCAGTTTTTCCTATTCAGAACATCCAGTGGTTCCTCTCTGCTTAGAGAAGAATAAATTCCTCAGGATGGCATTCAAGGCCCTTCCATAACATGGTTTCAATCTGCCTCTCCCAAATATATGTCACTCTAGTTCTCTCCTGTATTTTATCTCCAGCCAAACGGAACCAGCAACTCCTTCTGAAGATCCCCACAGCAACTGAGTATTCCTTCCTCTACCAGGACTACTGTCCCTCCACTCTCTATTTCTGCTGTCCAAATATAACCTACTCTTTAAGGTCCGCCTGAAATGCCAACATTTCTGTGAAGATATTCTGAATCTTTTCCAACTGGGTTTCTCCATATATATTGTAATGAAAATAGCTACCATGTAGCACATGCTTATTATTTGCCTGTGCCTAAGCACTATATAACCATTGTTCAATGTAATCCTTGGATAGACTCTACTACTATCCACATTTTACAAATGAGTAATGCGATGCTCAAAAGAATGTCTTGTCTGGGCACAGTGGGTCGTGCCTATAATCTGAGCACTTTGGGAGACCAAGGTGAGCAGACTACTTGAGGTCAGGAGTTCGAGACCAGCCTGACCAACATGGTGAAACCCCATCTCTACTAAAAATATGAAAATTAACCTGGCATGGTGGCGCATGCCTGTAATCTCAGCTACTCGGGATGCTGAGGCAGGAGAATCACTTGAACCTGGGAGGTGGAGGTTTCAGTGAACCGAGATCATGCTGCTGCACTCCAGCCTGGGTGACAAAGCAAGACTTTGTCTCAAAAAGAAAAAAAAAAGAACTTCTTTAGGTGACCCAGACAATAAACAGAGGAACAGGGATTTGAACCCAGGACTATCTGACTCCACACCCCAGGCCAAGATTGTGTCACACATTGTTATGGGCTGAACTATGTCCCCCATCCTGCCAAGTTCATATGTTGAAGTCTCAATTCCCAGTACCTCAGAATGTAACTGTATTCGGAGATAAGATCTTTAAAGAGGTGGTTAAGTTAAAATGAGGCCATTGGGATGGGGCACTAATCCAATATGACTGGTGCCCTTACAAGAAGAGGGAGAGACACCAGGGGCGTGTGTGTGCAGAGGGATGACCATGTGAAGAGGCAACAAGAGATCAGCCATCTGCAAGCCAAGCAGAGTGGCCTGAGATGAAACCAACCCTGCTGGCATCTTCATCTTGGACTTCCAGACTCCAGAAGTGTGAGAAAATAAGTTTCTGTTTAAGCCACCCAGTCAGTGGTATTTTGTTACGGTAGCCCTAGAAAACGAACACGAACATTTTATGTCCTTCTCAATCCATTTACCATACCATGACTTCAAGGCCTAGACTGTGGTCTCTTGAATGCAGGAACCAGGTCTTAATTGTCTTTATAACAGCCACAGATAAAGGTATGCAAAAGTTTGAGATAATTTTTTTGCATGAAAATTCTGAGTTCAGTAGTGCTTGAACAGCTTGTAAGAGTTGATATAATCTTAAAGTACTTCCCTTGATGTACTAATTTTAAAAAATGTATAGCTTCCATACCAAACAGATGGAGACTCATGTCATTCATTTATTCATTCAGTGATTCATTTATTCATCAAATATTTGTTAAGCTGTTGGTATGTGCCATTAGACAGTGAACTAACAGGCAAAAATCCATCCTCGAATACAGCTTACACTCTGGTAAGGAAAGCCAGGCAACAGACAAATACCTACATAAAATGTCAGTTGGTGATAAGGGCCAGGGATACAAACAAAGCCAGAAGCAGGATCTTGCATGTCAAGAAGGGAATTTAACTTTTTAGGGGCTTTGTCAGTACTTATCATGCTCTGAGATTGAATAGGCACTGATCCAGGCACAAATACAGTGAAAAAAAATATATACTTTCCTCAAGTTTATGGGAAGTAGAGAAGATAAATAGGTGTTTATACTACAATGTAAAAAGTTCAGTCGTGGAGGAAACATATACCAGGCTATGGGAGCAGAGTGTCTCCAAAATTTTTAGTGCACTTACACGGTAACTCCAGCAAGAAGATGTCACCTTAGTTTCCATTAATTTTTCAATCCGTATTTTATTATTTTTATGTGTCTACCCTTTTCTTCTGGAATATCATGAATAATTCATTCTCAACAATTTAAGTAGTATACTACAAAATTTCAAAATTTATGGTTCTCCATGGATAGTGTTTCATGTTATATAAGAGAAAATATCTGGCAGCAGCCATGGGCAGCCAAATTAAGCATTTTGTACCAACTGCTGTGTCTTCTTTCTGGGCTGCATTTGCCTGGTCACTGGGAATTACTCTGGATCTCGTAGGACTGATACCAGGGAATTCATGGAACTTATTCCTCAGAGCCCTCAAGAACTATCATCCTCCATGGACTTCTTAAATGGGGGCCTCTTTTAGGAGGAAGGATCTCCCAGGCTGACATGACGTTATCTTTTCTAGTCACGGAAGAGAGGAAAGCAGAACTTGTAAAATGGCAATTTGAGTTCTCCCATTTATTCCACAAGTGAGAGGAAGACAAAGGAGAATTTTCCAGGTCTTTCTCAAATTCGTGAACCAAAAGCCTCGTCGAAATGAGAGGGCTGGAGACTTCAGTCTTAGCTTTATGTCTACTTAAAGTATTACTGAAGTTTTATATGTTTTTCGAGGAATCACTCTAGTGGAAATTAAATGGGGTTTTTGTTGTTGTTGTTTATATAAGCTGAATATTGTTCTGGTGTCATTACCCTAGAGATGAACAACAAGGATGGAGGAGAAAAGAGAATAGAGAAGGAAGGCTTACACAAAGTAGTTAAAAATCTGCAGGCTTCATCTGCTCCAGAAATTCCTCCCTCTGTTCCCTGTTTGCTTTCCCTGGCTGTGGGTTCTTATCTTGAACCTTTTCCCTGAATATGTTGTTATACTGTGGACCCTGAGGACTTGCCACGCTCTTGCTTTCTACTGGATTAGGCTCAGTATAGATTTGTTCAATGGCCAATCACAGGATATCTTAAAAGAGATCTCACCATATAAGCGCTGAGCAAGGTCAGTGGCCTCCTGAATTCTTTCTTCTTGCTGCGGCACCGAGGGTGCAATAAACTTATTGAACTGCTGGTGGAGAATTTTCACAGCTTCCTTTGTCTTGCACTCTGTGGAATATTTTCCCACTCTTACAACTGTGGCACTTGCATCTTCGTACCAAAAGTGACACTAAATTTAAATAGGATAAAGCACAGGTGAAAGAAATACGGTCCTTCTAAAGTTCTTAATTTTGACCAGTGGAGTATCAAATTTTAATTCCCTCAACTTTATGTTCACATTGGCTTGAACTTTCTAAGTCATAATAAAGAAAATATTAAAACATGATCATATTCTTTTGCACTTAAATGTTAGTGGCAGAAATAAGTACAAATATGAAAATATATATAAATAAAACTATAAGAAAGTAAAAATATGAAACTATATTTGATTCTCCTGCCTTCTTAGGTTTGCCTAAAATATAATTCCTAAGAGGAATGTTGCAGACTTACAAGAACAGGCAGGATAAAAAGCACCTGGCACGACAAAGAATCCAAATACATGCTAAATGGCAAGAAAAAGGTCAAATGTTCACAATCCAGCATAATGAATTGATATCATTAACAATACACTGCTAAAGTATTGCCTGATGAATACTCTACCAAATAAATTCTCCTTGAAAAATAAGATTTAGTTTATGAGTGGGAAAATATCATCCAACAAATAGCATTTCACCTTTTCTTAATAGAAAATAGTTATATTTTCCAAACACAGTGGAGAATGAGACAATTTCTCATTAAAAATAAATAACTGTGATGGAAGGAATGTCTGACCCAGACCCAAAGCACTTATGCAGGGTGAGAGATAGAAACACATGACTCTGTTAGGAGTTGGTTTTAAATAAGTGCCACAAAGGCACAACAAACCTGTACATCATATGTAGAAGACTGATCATTTTGATTCTCCTTAATCTGGTGTTAAATCTAAAAACTCAACTGCATTCGTGGTAAAGACGTTCTGTATCTCAAACAATAATGGGCAACAAAGAACACTCAAGAACTTCAAGTGCAGAATTTCTTCAATACGAAGTGTTCAAACAATAACTTTAACTTGTCAAATTTCATATATTTTATGTATACTCTACCTTTTATCCTCTTGACAGTAATAAAACACCAATAACAACTTTTTGTAACTGAAAAATCACAGTATCGATCTTTAAAATAAATATTTTCAAGTTCTGTGAAATAAATAAGCCACTCTGAGCATTTTAAACAGATATCCAGCATAATTTCATGATAATTAAACATCTTCAGTTGATGAGGTTATGGAGAAACAGGAACTCTTATACATTGCCGGTAAATTAGTAAAGACCTTTCTCAAGATAAATTGACCAATAAAACCAAAGACCTTATAACATTCATCCCCTTAAGTCCAGCAATTCCATTTTAAAGAATTATCCTAAGAAAAAAAATCATGAAAAGGAGCATGATACATGTATAATGACAATAACAGCTAATGTGACATTGCTTTAAAGTTGCAAAATAATTTTTGAAAACAACATTGCAACATGGATACCACTGCAAAAAGAAGATACCTCTTCTATCACCTCCTGGAGATGCTCAGTCAGGTCCAAATTCTTCTTGTAATCTGTCACAACTTTGTCAAAGTCATCCACATGTTTTTGCAAATCCTTCACGACTTCCAAAAGGACATTAACTTTATCACTTGGATAATTTAAGAAAGAATCAGAAGTTTTATTACTAACTTTTTCCATTTTCCTTTTCAAAGCCTGTGTGAAAAACAAGAAGTTTTTAAAATAACATTCAATTTGTATTTATGATGCTAGTGATTAAATACCGAGAAAAAAACTAGTAAAAGCTTTTGCAGCTTCCTCCAATCTATTAAAATAATAATTATTACAAATATATTATGGAAAGAATGGGTTTTCCCCAAATTCTATTGATTTAGCATTCAGCAAATAAATAGAAAATGTACACAGGTTTATTCCAGATTTTGAGACTAGTAATATGATATTTTTTAAAGACAATGATAATTAAATCAAATAGTTGTCCTCAATAAGCTCACTGTCTCCTGGAAAAGGCATTTAAATAATCTAGCCAGTACATGTGATAATCAGGGTAGGAATAAGAGGCTATAGGAGCAGCAAAACTAATGACATAGATGGACGCAAGAAAAGGAGGAGGAGTGTAGAAGGCGTGTGCATGTGTCCATGCATGTGTGTGTATGTGTTGGGGAGAAGAATGGAAGTAGACACGCTGGATAGGTTTGGCAGAAACCATTCTGGATCTGCCTCAAGAGATAAATCAATTTATTATGTATTTTTACATGAAGGATAAAATTGTTATAAAAATGGAAAAATACCCTTTGAGTCCCAATGCTACAAAAAGCCAGAGTTAGGTATCTAGATTTGAAATGCAAAACAATTTTGCAATAATTGTGTAGTACATACACACACACACACACACATATACAAATCATATTTTCTTGTTACCTGCATTTTTTCAGCGTACATATCAACTTGTTGAATTTGATATTTAAGCACCTTCAGATTCCGATATTTTTCATTTTTCTTAGTGTAATTAAACTTCAAATTATTGAATTTCTTTTTGACATCTTTGAATGACTCTTTGAGCTGTAGTTCAACAAAAAGAAATAGGTGATTTCCTTAAAATGAGAAAACAAAGTAAGTCATAAAGAAATCAAAGCATCTGAACACTTCAAAATATTCATAATCTTAAAAATGTATTTAGGGTAATTTTCTCTCCCCTCCATTCCCTTCCTTTCCCTTTCTTCTTTTTTGAGACAGGGTCTCACTTTGTCACTCAGGCTGAAGTGCATTGACACGATCTTGACTCATTGCAACATCTGCCTCCTGGGTTCAAGTAATTCTGATGTCTCTCCTAAGTAGCTAGGACTGCAGGTGTGTGCCACCATGCCTGGCTAATTTTTGTACTTTTCGTAGAGACAGGGTTTCACCATGTTGGCCAGACTAGTCTCAAACTCCTGGCCTCAAGCGATCCACCTACCGCGGCCTCCCAAAGTGCTGGGATTACAGGCTTGAGCCACCGCGCCCGGCCTCAGAGTGATTTTCAATAGAAAACAAGTCTGCCAAGTGGACACACAAAGTGAATTTAAATATATCCTCCAAATATGAGTAATTATAAAATGTTTAATACTTTTCGATTTGTAATTTTTAATTAGGAATTATAGCTATAGAACATTCCTTTGTCCCTCAAGTAAGCAAATTTCTCAGATATCATACATAAACTTTTAACAACTCTAATTTTCTTATTTGTATTTATTTTATATCTTTTTTTCCCATTCATTCTGTTTTCGATATGCTAATATTTGCCCCAGATCTATCTTCCAATACTCTCTCACAGCCATCATGTATACATTTATTAAGGCTCCAAAAAGCTATCCATGTTGAAGAAGTCAATGAAGTGTTGACATTTAGACCACCTGGACACCGGTGGGGTGGAAGAGAAGACCCAATATGAGATTTAGTAGGGAAAAATAATTATTATCTGCCCAGTTAAAAATTACTTTTCGTGAGCAGTTCTGAAAAGAGTTTTACTTCTTAGATATAGACCATTAACTTCAGAGATCCTTCAAAAACAAAAAAAGTAAAGTGACAGTTGTTGCTAATGACAGCTAAGCTAACCTGTGTATAAATAAAGCATACAGCTATCCATAGGGGAAAGATTTTGACAGTCTTAAAAACAGTTCAACTTTACCAGTGCACCAAATTTCTAAGCAGCCCAGTTCCATTAAATGCACCTCTTTCTGTCCCTTCTCTATATTTAAGAAGGATAAGCATATTGACAGGCAACTCTCTGTGTTATCAACAAAGTACAGAGAAAAAAAATACCTTCTCAGATTATATGGAGGCATTTCACAGCAAGACTGAACAATGTCATGGTTGATAAATTTGAGCTAAGATAAGTCAGAAAAGCATTAAAATTCTTTTTGATGACAGCAAACAAATTATTTGGGAGGGAATAAAGACCATGCATGTGCTAGATTTTAGAATTGTAATGCAGAAAAACATACTTGCCCTACAAAATGTATGCTTTTTCAAAATGCTTATTTCAAATTCTGCAGACTGTGAAAATAAAGCCTTTATCTTATCTTTAACACATCTAGGAGACATCAACTTTAAAGCTCTAGTGGAATTGCACACGGAAATTATTATACTGATAGAATTTTTGCATTGGATACACATATACTTAATCAGTGTTGTTTAGTTTATATGGTAAATAATGTTGTTGAACATTACTTTTAAGTTACAAACTAAACCAAGCACAGAGACCGCATGAACTACTTTAACTGATAAATAAATCAGTAATGTTCAGAAAAAGTGAAAAGTTTCAGAATTTGAACATTATTTCTCTATTAGAAACTCAGTGGAATATTTAAAAGATCATATTCAGTTGATGTGTTTGTGAAATAACTAATAAACATTTACATTCTATGGCACTCAATGTTTTAATGTGCATATGTTTGATTTTAACAAGAAAGGATAAATAACGTCAATTTTGTAAGATTGAGATATAAAGGGGTTATATCCTTAGTAATTTACATAAAATTTTGGCAGGAGTTTTTGCAACTATAAATGTAATAAGTACTACATCTGAGGAAACCAGACATTATTGTTTTAAAAAACATCTCAATAACGAGTTACTATTTAATGAGTGCAGAGTTTCTGTTTAAAATGACAAAAAAGCTCTGCAGATGGATGGTGGTGATGGGTTCACAACAATGTGAATGTACCTAATACCACTAAACTATACACTTAAAACAGTTAAGCTGGTAAATTTCATGCCATGTGCATTTTACCACAATTAAAAATGAAGGGAAAAATGCCCTGTCACTAAAATTTATCCACTGGAAAATAAACTTATATATTCTTCTACTTAAATGTGACATACATCAGAAAACCTTAGTCTACAGAAAGGAAGAAGGGCTCTGTCATTAACCTGATAACCACTGGATTACATCTGCTTTAAATGGGAAAATTCAATGTCTATTTGAAAACTATATGATAAATAGAGAAAGGCTGAGATTTAATACTTTAATTTTCAACCATGAGATTTTAAATCTACTTTGGATTAAGAAATTTAAGACTGATAAATGATGAGTGTGATTTGATTTCTGTTTGCTTCAGAATGTGTGCACTTCCACTGAAGATGATTTATAAGGCCAAAGAATGTTCATGACACTGTGGGCATGTGAAATGGGATCAGCTTCTTTCTGACACATGAGCTCCCTTGACAAAGTTGCTGGCACTTTTCTATTTTGGTTTCACTGGAAATCCATTTTAAATCTAAATCTCTGTGCCTTTTTTCAACTCAAAGTCAGGACTACTGCAGATACGAGTGGAAGGCAATATGCACGAAACTACCTTCAGCGATTGAAAAATCTTGCCATTCTTAATTTTCTTACCCGCACTTTCCAATATGAAAACTTAACTTCCAAAAAAAAAAAAAAAAAAAGAAAACTTAACTTTCCATCTAATCCCAACATAACTTGTGGTCATATTTTTAAAGGAATTGAGTGCCATAGTTGCTGGGTGTGGTATCATTGTTCACACAGCTGTTTCTAACTTTAGTCAACTTGTCAACAACGGGGAATGGTGGGATGGGGCTGAGACAACTGCTCCAGTTGAACACATAAGCGGAGAAATACACCCCAAGCTTGGGGTGAGAAAAATTTTACCCTGTTAGAAATCTTTAAATGATGTCATAATTCATACTAAAGTTCCTCAAAGTTTTCAGAAAATTAGGGAAAATATATTTTTAATGAATAATTTTATTTTCCCATCTTTTCACATGGTCAGCTCCTCTATATTTACCATAGAATAAACAGACTGAGTTAACATAGCTATAATTAGAAATAAGCTATTAAGATTTAAAAACTATAAATATTTTGAAATGAGCAGAATGAGCATCTTTGCCAAATTTTCTAGCATGCCGTAAGCCCCCTCTCAGGGTTAGAAATGAACAAAGCTTCTTTGGAAAGAAGCAGAAGGGAAAGAGGCTGATGCCAAGTGAGGCTGGCTTGCTATTGTTAGTCCACCCTGGGCAAGCTGGTTGAGCCAGCTTTGGCATGAAAATGTATTATTTATAAATTTGCTGCTGTCAAGGCCAATTTGTGTGAGGGACATGGGACATTTAAAACAGAAATGCATTTAATGCATTTAAAAAGAAAGCCTTTCCTTAGAACTATGGCACATGTTTGGCCAGAAGCAAAAATATAAAATGACTGGTCAATTTCCATAATGTCCCCTTCATGAATGTCATTTCTTGCCTGTCATTTTATTTACTCCAGAAAAAAGCTTTTTGATGCTCATGTTCAGCAACAGAAAGCTGTGATGTTATCACCTTCCAGGTATGCGTTATTCAAAATCAAGAGACCCAAAGGCTCAAAATTTAACCCAAATCATTTGCTACAATTATCAATTATCACTTAGGGAGGCTGTGGTGGGTGGATCACCTGCGGTCAGGAGTTCAAGACCAGCCTGGCCAACATGGTGAAACCCCATCTCCACTAAAAATACAAAAATTAACTAGGCATGCTGGCACACGCCTGTAATCTCAGCTACTCAGGAGGCTGAGGCAGGAGAATTGCTTGAATCCAGGAGGCAGAGGTTGCAGTGAGTCGAGATCACACCACTGCACTCCAGCCTGGGCAATAGAGTGAGACTCTGTCTCAAAAAAAAAATTTTTTTTTTTGTAGAGGCAGGGTCTCACCATCTTGCCCAGACTGGACTTTAACTCCTGGGCTCCAGCAATCCTCCTACCTTGGCCTCCCAATTGTAGAATATTCAGACTTAGTGCTAGAGAGATTTCAGGAGAAGACTTTTTGTCCTCCTTCCATTTGGCAACCACACCCTTGTCTTCCCATGCTTGAGGCCAGTTGCTAGAGGCTGAAAGTGGGACAACTTGGGAAGACATGACAATTGCTCTGCCTTAAATTGTAGGTAGCAACAGGTGTCAGTAATAAATATTTTATCCATTTTGCATGTTTTGTGTCTTCATAATATGTTTGTCAAGTTTTGTTTTCTGAAAATGATAACCATAATTTAAAACTTCAGCTCTCTTTATTCTTCAGAAAGATTCCAGTCATTTTGCAGATGTTAAACACCAAAATGTTAACATTTTAACCTTATGGAATGGATGCTTTTAGAGCAAATTGTAATCTTTCTTATCCTCTTACACATACCATCCAGATGGATCCAGGATGGGGCCCACTAGAGGAATGGCTGTGACTGTGAAGTCTCATGGGTTTTAATGCTGTCTAGACTTGAAGTTTCCTGAGGAGTTTGTGTTCTTTTTTTTCTTTTTAATTGGTGGAGTCTCACTCTCTTGTCCAGGCTAGAGTGCACTGGAGTGATCACGGCTCACCGCAGCCTAACAAACTCATGGGCACATGGGATCCCCCTGTCTCAGCATCTCAAGTAGTTGAGACTACTGGGACGTATCACCACATTTGGCTAATTTTTAAAAAATGTTTGTAGGGCTGGGCACGGTGGCTCAGGCCTGTAATCCCAGCACTTAGGGAGGCTGAGGCGGGTGGATCACCTGAGGTCAGGAGTTCAAGACCAGTCTGGCCAACATGGTGAAACCCCATCTCTACTAAAAATACAAAAATTAGCTGGGCATGGTGGCGCACACCTGTAATCACAGCTACTCGGGAGGCTGAGGCAGGAGAATTGCTTGAACCCGGGAGGCAGAGGTTGCAGTGAGCTGAGATCACTCCAGCCTGGGCGACAGAGTGAGACTCTGTCTAAAAACAAACAAAAAAAAAAACAAAAAAAAACAAAAAAAAAATTGTAGAGGCAGGGTCTCACCATCTTGCCCAGGCTGAACTTGAACTCCTGGGCTCCAGCAATCCTCCTACCTTGGCATCCCAAAGTGCAGGGATCACAGGTGTGAGCCACTGCTATTTGTATTCTTATGGCTTGGTACACAGAAGCCACAGTAACACATTCGTTGAGTGAATATAATGGAGTCCTTTTTAAAGAAAATGATGAATTCAGGTTATAAATCTGGAAAATAATTATTGTCTGTACTATACCATTGTGCTGCCCTGTTGGGTGTTTTGCCATCTATGCAAACTCTTTCTCTGCTTCCTTTGCTGCCATGGTCCTTTTGTCAGTGGCAAAGTGCTATACAATGTCAGGTGGTTTTAATTTTATTGTGTATGTGTCCATAGCAACACTATTCCCCTATTCTAATTTACTGCTACTAATCGACTTGTATCCCTGGAACTCATTGGACTGATTTATTCAAGTTGAAAAAAGAATTTGTGCCATTAGAACATGTGACTGATACATGGAACATATATACTAAGTCCTTTTCTGCATAATTCCTGATGGGCAAGATGTTGCTACAGTGGAAAAATTCAGGGTAAGGTAAAATAATTATCTGGAAGTTCTATGTGGAAAACTTGAGAAAATAAATACCAACCCAATTCTGTCATTACTATACTTTTCAGCAAAGTAATTGTGATCTGTAATATGAGCCTCGAGCTACAAATTTCCATTAACATCATGTAGACGTAAAGGTAATTTTTTTGGTCAGGTTGAAAGAAGAAAACATGCTTGATATTAACTTATTACATTTCTAAATGTAGATGTGTAAAGAATGATGTTTCTGTGTCATGTAATATGGCAGAGAATATGTCTATTGTGCTTTGTGTATGAACAACTTATTTATATAGCCAGGCAAGAAAAAATATGAATTATATTCAACATTCATGCATACAAATGTATCTTTGTATGAAATGGGTAGGAAAAAACACAAAATCTGGCAGTCTGAAGATTATTTTTCTAGTAGGTAGACATGAAGAAAATAAGGCTTTACAATTTCCTATGTCTTCATATGAAATTGGAAAAAAATGGTTTTTACTCAAAGATAAGCACAAACTATCATTCATTGTCTTTAAGGCACATCACATTGCATTTTAAAAAATTACATTTAGAACACTTTATTTTGCCTTGGGGTACTGAGTTCTTTTCTAAGGGCTTTCAGTGCAGTTAAGACCATGTAAGTTAGCTATAGCACGGTCAAGAAAGAAATTTTTTTGAAATAACCAAATGAACCGTGCTATGATATCAGGTCATACAAACATCTTAGATATACCAGAAAATAGGGATAGAAGAGGAAAACATTAAAAAAAAAGATATTTAACATCAGACCATGCAGTGGTTGAATGACACTGAAATATTATATAAATGGTGAATTCTGAATTTAACAAATGATAAGCATGTTGGTGCCCAACAAATGAGTCTGTGGCCTGAAGTCGATTCCCTGGAACACCCTGAGCTGAAACTCTGTTGTCCTGTAGCATATTCCTAACATGAAAGTCTTATGCTCCTCAGTTTTCCCATCTGAAAAATGAACATACTGAACTGGACATTCTCCAAAATCCATTGCAAGTCAGAATCTGTGAACTTTCTAACAGTACTTTAAGCACATTGGAAATGAAACTGTGTTTAAAAATCAACTTTAAAAATTAAATGCTATACTTGGTTTAGTCCTCTGGCATGTTATCTAATTTTAATTGTTTATGCAGAAAAAAATAGTGTAACGTATCATATTTAATTTTACAAATGTTTTAAGCAGCTGTACCCAAAGACTAATAATGATAACAATAAGAATAATGTCTAGATAGCAAATATTATTACCACTGTGGAAACTAGCCATCTGTTTGGGTTCTACTATTCACAATATAAACTAGAACACACGTATTTTTATTTTCCTAAGGGGCATGGAAAATATTCCTTCTGATTATTTTCCCTTAGGCCTGTCGTGAGAAAGTCCAGGGTGTGCACACTCCTCATATCTCCACAAAAAAGGAGAAACGACAAAGACCCAAAGTTCTCAAAGGTCATTTAAATGTGAAATTGTAAGTTACATGAAAGATTAAATGGATCTGTAGTGGAAGCAAATGGGAAGAATATCTCTCTTAAAATGTAAGAGCATGCTGAAGTGATACCTGATTCCTAAATCAAACCCGCATGTATCTGGCTGCTCATTCTGACACGGTACAGACAATCCTGGGGCGTCCCTACTGACAGGAAGGGACATCTGTCATCCCAGCCGACTGGCTCCAAACGCAGTCTCATCATGAGGCAGTCCCTATAAATAGAATTCCTGCTGGAAGGGCCTGAACAGGGAGACCCAGCTTCATAAATATCACAGGTCTACAGGGAGACAGAAATGGAGCCAGAGGGGGGCTGGGAAAACCCCTCAGCCTGCTCCACTTGCACGTCAGCAAATGTAGAGCCCAACCATCCCTGCAAAGAGGGAGGATTTTTGGCAAGACAAAGGTTTACAAATAGAAGTACACGAGGAGGAAGAGAAGGAGGGAAAACCAGAGGAAAGGGGGAGGGGGAGGGGAGGAAAGAAGAGAGAAGGAGGAATAAAGAAGATTAACTTTAAGGAAAGACTGTAAAGGAACAGTTTCCATAACCAGGAATCCACATTTTGTAGCCTTGGGGAGACTAATGTGCTCTGATGGTTTTCCTTAACAAGACGTGATTGACATGTAAGCAGCAGTACAGGAACCTGAAGTGGCCATTCTATCACCTACAGGGCAAATTACAACACCGGTTCAACCCCAAAGAGTCTTGACACCTCTCTAGCCAAAAGTAACTCGCTGGAACACAAATTATGAGCTGAAACTCTACAGTCCTGCAGCACACTGCTGAAATGAATATCATTATCAGATATCAGTTCCTGCTTCCCTCCTGTTTAACAGGATCAAAGTGGCCCCTCCTGCTCTCTTCCCCTTTGGTTTTTCTTCCAGCCATGCTCCATCCTGCACCTGCCTGTGGTCTGTAAATATGTGGCCTACAGGAAGGGCCACTTCAGAGCCATGCCACCATTAAAGTTGAGTTATTTACACTTATTTCTGTGCTTTAATGTTGTTGGGTAATATTTGATACTTGCTGGGTCTAGTTGATGTAAATTGGGCATAAATAGAAAATGAAGAAAGTTTACTGCCTCCTTTTCCACCACCTTCTTTCCCAATGGACTCATGGCTTAATAGGCTCAGAAACATTTTGTTCTAAATGGAGATAAATCCAGAATTATGGGTACCCTTGTGTTCTGCTATCACTTCCCAGTTAAGAATCAGAACTGTTGCTATCCCAATCTGTGAGTTGTTTTCTCCCAGAACAAGTAAGCCTTTCAATGGAAAGCTTAGCTAGGAGCAGGTGGTGGTTGTGATTTAGTGAATATCTAGGTGTTGTTGATTGGTTACAGTTGAGGGAGAGGAGGTAGAATTAAGCATGTGGAGGTGCATGGATGTAGAATATCACTCTGATCTGTTACTTCTTTTTTCTCGAAGAGTTGTTTTGCCAGAAAAGCCACGCAGTTTGAGTAAATATGAAACCAGCCACTAGACCTCAGTGATAATACTTTGTAGCCTCCGAAGCAAAGTGCCTGCTCCCTGGCCTCTGGCACCATTGACTCACCATGAGTCAATGACCCTTAAATAGAACCTCAGCAGGCTGGAGTTGGCTGCAACGAACTGGTCAATGTCACCCCTTCCGCTGGGTCCTGAAAAAGCTGTATCCACTCAAGCAAATGACTGCTATACAGGTTTGAGGGAGAAGGGGGAAGCAAAAAACAAACAAAAGCAAGCAAAAAAACCATACTACTGAATTATTGGTTTTTCTACGTATTGACATCATACTGACTTCAACAAATTTGGGAGCTTGAAGTTGACTCAAACTTCCAGAGCCCTGAGGTCACTGCTCAGTGGATTAAAAGACATAAGTGAGAAGAAAGTCTCCTGATTCACTGTGTGTCTGTGTGTGTGGGAGTGTGCACATATGTGGACATTTAGACACATGCTTTAGGGTCAAACAGCTTTTTGGCAATGTGCCAGTTCTCACCCCTCCCACCCCCACCTCGTTTATCTCGTCTCTCATGGCGCAGTACTCCAAACTACGGGACAGGCTCCGTTCATACTCCTCAGCTTTGGCACGCCACTTCATGCTTTCCTCCTCAAGGAGCTCCAGCTGCTGCTGTAAGTTCTTTGCAGAAACATTAGAGCGGTGCTAAAAGAGACAAATGGTGGTAATGGGGAGAATGGGCAAAACAGCAATGAGATGAGTAAGCTATTTACCTGAATTATGAAACTCATAAATGACACTTTTTTAAAAAAGAAATAGGTTCCTGATTTATTTTACCTTAAACATATTTGAGCATAATTATTTCAGAAAGAAGCCAGACACCCAACATTATAGAAAAGATATTTCCCAGCTCGAATTTCTAGTGTTGAAGATTCACTCATCACACCCGACTCCTCAGAGACCCCATTCATTATAGGGTATGATCTTTACTTCAAAAGGCCTAAAATATGCATTAGAAACATTTGATTTCTGCACTATAATTTTCCTGTCAACTTGAGCTTAACCTCAGGTTCATTATGCAAGTGCTCCAATCTCAGCTCAGCACAGCGGGCTGCCAGGGCCAAGGCCAGAGGACGACTGGAGAACAATTCACATTATTTGCACAAAGTGAGACTTCTTGCTTTCCTATTCTTTTAAAAATAAATGTACTAATAAAATAAAACTCTTTAAAAAGAAAGCTCTTTCCTGGCAAAAAACCAATTCCATTAACAACAGCAGATAATTTGTATGTCTGTATCTTTCAGTTCAAAAAATATATATTTTATATTCACTGCATTTCATATAGTTTAGTGGATATCTTACATGTACTTTAAAATAAAATGGGCCATTATGATTTTATTAATGTTATACCTGTTGTTAGGGTAAACATAATCTTTTCTCCCCTCAAGTTAGAAATCTGGAGAAGGATTTTGTGTTTTATTTTGTGTTTGTTGGTAGTGGTGGTTTTTGTGTGTATGTGTGTGTTTTTTTTCTTTTTTCTTTTTGAGATGGAGTCTTATTCACTCTGTTGCCCAGGCTGGAGTGCAAAGGCTGGATCTTAACTCACTGCAACCTCTCCTTCCCGGGTTCAAGCGATTCCCCTACCTCAGCCTCCCAAGTAACTGGGATTATAGGCATGTAATACCACACCTGGCTAATTTTTGTAGTTTTAGTAGAGACAGAGTTTCGCCATGTTGGCCAGGCTGGTCTTGAACTTCTCGGCCTCCTAAAGTGCTGGGATTACAGGCGTGAGTCAATGTGCCCAGGCCGAAGAAGGATTTTTTTTTTTAAGAATCAATGTCCAGTGAATTATTGATGAAAATTTGATCTGGGAATATTTCCTTCTCTTTTAGGCCCCTCTTTTGAAGTCTGACAGTGGCATCAAACAAATCCAACGAGCCCTGGCTAGAATCAGGAGACTTGGACTTCTCCATTCTGGGCTTTTATGGGTAAGGTGGGAATTTGTGTTTGCCTCAAATTCTTCATCCATAAAATGATAGCTCTGGCCTGGGTGAACTCTAAGATCTAGATGGTCTTCCAGATCAGCAATGCTAAAACAGCATTGGCCAACAAAAATAGAATGTAAACACACAAATAATTTAAAATTGCCTAGTAGTCATATCAAAAAATCAAATAAAAAGATAGAGCAAAATTAATTTTTATAATATAACCAACTATGTCCAAATATCACCATTTTAACATGTAAGTAATATAAAAAATACTACTATGATTGCTTTTCATAATACCTCTTTGAAATCTGGTGTGTATTTCATACTTTGAACATCCTCACTTGTTGCTAAATTTTGATCAGAAATATTTGATCTGTATTTTAATTTTTTTAATTTACAGTTTCAAAAGTTGATTCCCATACCCAAATTGCTCTCAACATACTTAAAAGTTTTCCAATAACTATACTGAGGACCAGTCTTTAAATTTGTATTTAAATTAATGCAAGTTAAATAAAATTAAAACTTTAGTTTTTTAGTTGCATTAGGCACATGTCAAAGGCAAAAAAGTGACTGCGACACTGGACTATACAGATCTACTATATAAATGCTCTTAAATATTTTTTCATGAGAATAGAGGTATTCAACAAGACTTTTATATTTAGATTTTCTACTTAAAATTTTTTCTCTTGTCAGAGGGTAGAAACGAATCACAAATAACTACCCCAATGGTTTAATTTATTTTTAAATTTAACATATACTAAGCAATCTGCCTGGTTTCTTTCATACGCTAGCCCAAGCCCCAGTTAGAACTGAGTCAAATGATGGTGGTGCTGGATGCTTACAGGCCGCTGCACTGATGAGATGATGTCCACTCCTAAGGAAAGGGCCAGTCTGTGGAGATGGTCTACACGTGCTTGCTTTTCCTGAGAGCACCAGAGGTGAATCTGCACATCGTGAGCATCACCCAGTTCCTTCGGCTGCTCTACAAACTCCAGCTCTCTTGATCTGATGAGATGTCCCAGCTAAAATTTAGGGCATTAACAATTAACCTGAGTTTTATATGAAGACAGATTTTTTTTTTTTAAGCCTAATTTCTATAGCACATTTTGCTAGCTGGTCGAAATGCTGCCAAGGCCATCTATAAACTGTTGGCATTAGCCAAATAAGAATGCTGCAAATCCAATGGTGGTAAAATTGAACTGCTAACGTCGTCAGTTCCATTAAAGAAGGAAATTCTTTTTGGTCATGAACCAAAACATTAGCAAGATCTAGGCCTGTGCTCCGAGTAAATTTAGAGGCTATTTTAAAGGGATATTAATTAATATTCCTCTATCTTATGTTAATAGAGACCATAACTATGAAGTTTTTGTAAAAATGCCACCAACAAATAGCACTCCGTGATGTCAGGTACTTGAAGTGCAAAAAAAAAAAAAAAAAAAAAAAAAATTGAACTTGGTTTCTGCCCTCAAAGAGCCTACAACTGAATTGGGCGGGGCGGGGGTAGGGGAGGGAAGCTATGCTTATCAAAAGGTAGTTAAGAATCAAGATAGTAAAATGCAAGATATGTGGAATAAATAATGAGCTCTAGGATTTTTGAAGAGAGAGAAATCACTCCAAGTGAGGTAGGATTGTTGGAAGGAGGTATAGGATTTAGATAAGAGGGAGGAGAAAGACAGACTTGTCAAATAATGGCAGCCTGAGAGTCAAGGGTTGGAGTTAGATATGTGTGCATCATCTCTGAGGGATGAAGAGCTCAGTTTGTCTGGAACAAAAGGAAGAATAGGAACATAGTGAGAGTAAAGATAGGGGCCAGATTGTGTAAACTTCTGATATTAGAAGATACAATTTGGTCTTTATTTATTATTTAATAATTCATTTTTAATTGCATAGTTTAAAACTCAGGATTTTTCAAACATCCCTTCTAAGCCTTACCGCTTCCTTGACTTGATGGAACTGGACCACCTTGTACAGGATATCCTCGTAATCCTGGATTCTCTCTTTCTGTTTTTGTTGGAGGTGAATGAGGTCCTTCAGTTGTTGAGACTTTTCTTTTACAGGGGCTCCTTTGCCAGTTAACTCCTCTGATTCTTTCATAATGTATTGAACCTCATCATTTAATTGCTAAAATATTGAAAGTGATAAAAAAATCTTGCTTTTAAAGAACTTTTTTACTTTGCAACTGACAATATAAAGGTCTAAACAATGAATCACTCATTCATTTGTCAACAAACACTTATTATGAATGCCCTCACCCTCCAAAAAATTTGGGCATTGTGCTGGATGATAGAGATATATTTTTCTATATTCATCTGAGAAGTTTACAAAAAAAAATAGCATGAGCAATGCAAAAATGTTTCAAAGCTATGTGGAAAAACAAAGTCATACATTTCTATGGCATACCAAATGTTCTATTCATCTGTTAAGTAAATGTATTTTAGATATTTTATGCAGCCCCATGATTATCTCTGATATTTAATACAGACTAGAATCAGGCAGTATGGTAAAAACACCATGAGGAGATGAGTGTAAAAATATATCAGGGGAATAACTTGTGCTCTGTGATAAAAGAATGATCAGAATGAACCACCAGCTGAACAGCATAGTAGACAGACTGTTTCAAAAGCGGTCATCCCATGATCCACAAATAGCCATCACATGTAGGGAAGGATAAACTGCCTTCTCTTTCACCTGGCATTGCTCAGATACCCCTTATGGGAATCCAGATTCTGGAATAGAATTTACAACAGGGGCATACTTTAAAGAGAATGCTACTGTAGGCCGGGCACGGTGGCTCACGTCTATAATCCCAGTACTTTGGGAGGCCAAGGAGGGTTGACCACCTGAGGGCAGGAGTTCAAGACTACCCTAGCCAATATGGCAAAACCCTGTCTCTACTAAAAATACAAAAATTAGCCGGGCGTGGTGGCGTACACCTGTAATCCCAGCTACCCCAGAGGCTGAGACACGAGAATCACTTGAACCTGGAAGGCAAAGCCTGCAGCAAGACAAAATTGTGCTACTGCACTCCAGCCTGGGCAACAGAGTAAGACTCTGTCTCAAAAAAAAAAAAAAGAGAGAGAGAGACAGAGTGAGAGAAAGAGAGAGAATGCTACTATAATTTCAAGCGTAGATCTTTTGTATGAAAGGTAAAAGCAATGGAAATGATTTAGACTAAGGAGATAATTTTCAGAAGAGTGACCTAAAAAGGGTCGTCGAGTTTAAGCATTTGGGCATCAAATATATGTGCACCACAGTGACGGGGCTAAAGAAGTATGGCAATGGTCCTGATTTAGAGGAACTTACATGTACATGCAAATGTGCATACAAACCAAACGCATATAAGCAGATAACACAGGGTGTATTAAAGAACCTAATATAGGCCAGTCACATTTGCTGAGAGTTTTAAAGAGTTTGCTGTGGGTTACAGTTGTGGGTGTGTTTGTGTGTAGCAGGCGTGGTGGCTATGTTTTACATTGGTTTTTGTCTTAATGGAAACCTACCATTCCCTAAAGGAATCTTCAATCTTCTGATTCTGGGATTCTTTGAAGCCCACATTTATGAAGTAGTGACAGCTAGAAACACAGGTATCTAAATTTTGCAGCAAAGCATAAGAATCCAGGCAGAAGTATGATGTGACTAGCAGCTGGCAATTTTTGGCAGTTGTGTCACATTTTGGAGAGGCAAGAGGCAGGGAAATAGGGACAGTGTTAAGCAGTCAGGGTCAGGAGCATGACTTGTGGTTTTGTTGCTCATATCCTGAGAGGTGGAGTGGAGAGCACAGCAAAATTCCTGGGGTGATGGTACGTGCCTGGGGTGCTGGTGGGTGAGGACAGTGACCTAACAGTGGTCACCTCAGGGACTCAGGGCAGCAGAGCCTCTGGGTCCGAGGTTGCCCATCCTTGTTCTGAGAGGTCTCAATTTAAAACACCTCTGCACTCCCCAGGAAAAGAGTTAGAGTGAAAATACAGGATAAATATATGACTAGTTTAATTAGCCATGTGAATTTTAAAAATCTAAGATAAAAATCTATTTAGGACATTTTGTAGCCCAAATGTTGGTATATCATCAAATTCAAAAGAATGTAGGAAAACAGTAAGAAAAATGTCCCTACAGTGGATTTTTAGACAAGCGATACTTTTGTTTAAAAAATAGAAATTCACCAGCCTATTACAATTAATCAGGTAAACTGCAACCAAACAGTTTTAAATATTTTTTCCATTCACCCAAATCCGGCAATGTATTTCTTCACCTGGAACTGAGGCTTCATGTCATTCCATTTTTGTCGTAGCCCTAAAATGAACTGGAGGCTCCCTCCAAGGTCAAGTGCAGACACAGGCATAAGTGCTTCCTGAAGAAGTTTTAAGTTGTGAGTAGTCTGAAATAAATATTGGACAGTTACACATGCATTTTCTTTGACATCTCCAGCAAATGTGATCATTCTAGTAATGACAAGAGTGTGATCAAATTTTTCAAGCCCCATGAAAACGCTCAGGATGTGGCATGAGCTCAGGGTTCTAAACAACCAAGGAGTAAGGCCCTTGGTTTCTGCTGCCTTTTTTGGTTTTACTGTGGTAAAATATACATAATAAAAGTTACCATGTTTACCATTTTGGGGTGTACATTTCAGAGGCATGATATTTAATACATTCATATCACTGTGCAATCACCATCACCACCATCCATCTCCAGAACTTGTTCATCATCCCAAACAGAAACTCTGCACCCATTAAACAACTCCCCATTCCCTCCCTCGATCTCCCAGCCCCTGGTAACCTACATTCTGCTTTCTGCCTCTATGAGTTTGACGACAGGGACCTCATTTATAAGTGGAATCACACGATATTTATCCTTTTGTGTTTGGCTTATTTCACTTAGCTAGTGTTTTCAAGGTTCGCTCATGTTAGCCTGTGTCAGAATTTCATTCCTTTTCACACCCCATTGTCCCTTGCCTCACCTTTTTAAGCTGCTCTTTGAATGCCGCCCACTGCTGTTTGACAGGCTTGCTTTCCGTGGCTTTAAGCTGCCATGCCAGCCGAAGGAGGCTAAGTTCTTCCCGTTCTGCTTTCTGGTTTTCCATAGTGTTCTTCATGATGTACACTTCATTTTCCACATTTAGTATCTCATTCTCTTTTGCCTGTTAAATTAATAATTCATATAATAGCTTTTCTTTCCCAAGAGATACAGCTTTTTGTTGTATATAACTATTTGACGAGGCAAATTCTTTATCACAGCCAAAGCAGAGCACGGTTCTGACATCCCAACAAGTTCGAACTCCCTGCGCAGAGGCACAGTTCAGCTCTCGGAACCCACATACTGTTCTTAGACGTCAGGTCCCCAGTTCTTCAAGACCCAAGGGGTGTTTGAATTCGTACCTAGGGTCTGGTTATTTCCTGGGGTTTAAAAGATTATTTAATGAGCAGAGGATCCAGAATTTTTGAAGTCAAGATTTAAAACATGCGTATAAGTATACCTATATGCATTTGAAAGATACTCTATCTTTTATTTTAACACGCTCATTAGAATACATCAAAATATCAGTATTGAGGAATAGGAGGGGACAGGATGTTCTGGACCACTGTTTTTCTTTTTCTTTAAACTATTCCATTGTATACATTGCAATTATTTTAAATGTCCTTTGCTGTTTCTCAAGTTCCTCCATTTTGTGAGAACTGAAATGGGTCTGCATCTCTGTATTCAGAACTACATCATACACCGGAAGCACAGTACCTAAAATCGAAGATTTCACTTCCAAGCTTTCATATGTTCTGCTTTACTGATTAGAAATCTTTTAAACAATGGTTTTAAACAAAGGGAAATTCAACTAGTGGTAAAATGATAATAGCAAAGAGTAAGACTACGTGTGCTTTATTTCTGTAGAAACATTTAAAAAATGCACAGGAACATTCATTTGGCAAAACAGTTATGTTTTTTACTTTAGTAGCCAGCCTTTCTCAATAAATCTTCAAATTTCTATCATCTCAATGACAGCAATTGATAGTATCATAAATATTTAACAGGATATTTTAAAGATAGGCCATTTTATTTTAAAATTATTTTAAATGATATTGATATTGTGCACTTATATTTTTATATAATTTTATACATTATAAAGTGGCAACTAATTCCAAAAAATATATATATTTGTAGGTCCTAAATGAGGATTCCTCCATGAACTTAATAATCTAGTAATAAAATGATATATTCCCTCATTATTAGTAATGATACATAATAAATTATGAAAGATATTAGACAACTCAGCAGAATCCACCCCAAATTATACTTTTATCTATATAATAAAGTTATCTTTCACATATTTTAAAGAAATGATTAACCAGAATGTAATGTACTATATAATTTAACATAAATTTTGAAACTGCAGCATGCCAATGACAACTTTAATCAGAAGGATATGGTGGATTCTGAGTGAGGTCTAGAGAAAGGAGAGCTATAGTAGGATTCGTAGATGTCTAGCTAGTAGGATCTGTGAAAAGTGATCCTGTATTTGGCAGATGAATATTTTGGCCACTCAAGAAGATTGAATAATTTGCCTGAGGTCTAATCAGTAAACACAGTACTCATTTTACTTCCGTGTAGGGCATGGAAACTTTTTGCCATAATCCAGTCTAAATAGGCGACTAAAGCATTCCTTTTTCACTTGTATTCATGCACCATAAATGGTTTTCTGATGTCTTACTTTTCAGATACCTTGATAATAGGAAGGCTGTATCCCAGATAGCATTCTTGGTACTGACCATTATAAATAAATAAATTGGAAGTTTCATCAAGATGTCTGTCATAATTTGAACCTGAATCAATTTCTCTGATCTTAATGATTTTTAGATGAACTGAAAAATTTTCTATTTCTGGCTTGAAAATATGAGCCATGACAACCCAATAAAGAACAGAACACTCAATTGAATATACCAGCTGGCCTCTGCCTTCTTGACGAGCAAACTGGTCACCATGATTCAACAATAATGTTTGTTTAAAAGCCTAGTGGTCCAAAAGATATCATGAGAATGAAAAAAATTGTTTTACTTACTTTACCAACAATTTCATCTCTCCAAATGTTGCTAACCAATAAATTTCATTATCATGTGGGCTTTAATTTTAATCAGTAAGGAGGAACTTATTTATCCTATGATAGTGGCAAAGACCTTGGGGTAGAGTGACCATGTTTATGACATCAAGATAAAAGACCACCAGAGCACAGTAGTAAAATACATGCTATTTCTGGGAGATCTAAGTAGGCATTGAATATTATGATAACCTAAGTTTATTTAGATATAGATTCAAAATATAATTTGGAATGAGTTATTGTTGCAGATCTTTAAAAACGAAAATCTGATTGTACAATCTTAAACATTCTAAATAAGTAACAAAGGACTTCTGGGTAGAATGGAGTAGCCAGTGGCAGAGCAGTGCTTTTGCTTAAAATACCTAGAAAAGCTAGGTAAAATGCAGAGGGAATCCATTTGAAGGAAGCAGAGAGCTGCTCTGCAACCAGAACTAGAGAGGCTGACTCCAGAGAGGGAAGAACCTGACAGTGGTGAGCTCATCTGTCATCCCAGGGGCATTTCCCAATTCTGTGCAGACAGGAGGCTGATAATCAAGACTTCCCTGGAGCAGAGAAACCAACAGAGATTTTGGCAGACACTTGGAGGGCTTCAAGCACAATGATCTTCTTCTAAAGAAGACTGACAAAATACCGGGGGTATATGGGGCAGTGGATTAAAAAACCTTAGCTAAAGGCCTCTGAAAAGCAGAGTGGAGTTTTTCAGCAGACAACCCAAACAAAGATTGGAGTTTGTGACCTGCCAGGGGCACAGATCTCAGAGAAAGCACCTGGCTCTCAATACAAAACTCTGGGAGCCTGAGGGGACAGGACTACACTGCAAACACAACTCTGCCAGCTTCTGATTGGCTTCAGTGATTGCCTACCAACACCTGCCTGGAGAAAGAAGGGCGACCCTTTCTAGAAGAAGAAAACACCATCTGCCGATCCTCCAATTTTTTATACATAATGTCTGGCATTTGATAAATATTCACTAGTGCTGCCAAGACACAGGACTACAGGACTGGAAACCAAGTGAAAAATTAGACAATAGAAACCGCTCCAGATCGGCCGGGTGCTGTGGTTCATGCCTGTAATCCCAGCACTTTGGGAGGCTGAGGTGGGCAGATCACTTGAAGTCAGGAGTTCGAGACCAGCCTGGCCAACGTGGTGAAACCCCGTCTCTACTAAAAATACAATTATTTGCTGGGCCTGGTGGCGGGCACCTGTAATTCCAGCTAATCTAGGGACTGAGGCATGAGAATCGCTTGAACCCGAGAGCTGGAGGTTGAAGGGAGCTGAGATCGCGCCACTGCACTCCAGCCTGGGTGACAGAGCGAGACTCTATCTAAAAAAAAAAAAAAAGAAAAAAAGAAAGGAAAGAAAGGAAAAAAAGAAAGAAAGAGCTCCAAATCCAAATGTTGTAGTTAGCTGACAAGCACTTTAAGTGCCTAGGGTTAATATATGGTTCAAGAAAGTATTGGAAGGATGGGAAAAGTGCAGACAAGAAACAGAATTTCGAATTTCGTCAGCAATTTAACTCTAATAAATAAAAGTACCAACTGTATATTCCAGAACTAAAATTTCTGAAATTAAGTTAGTAATAAGATAGACAAAATTATGCAGTTTGAAAGTATTTGAATTACCTTAGGTAAATCACAAACATATATAATCAACAGATGGGAGAAGATTGATTGAACCATGTAAAAGTGTAAGAGAGAGACAGAGCAATAGATAGATGGATAATACATGTTCTAAATGTTCTAAATGAAAAATATATATATATTTTTTTTACAGTAAAGTACCTAGATCACACAGGTACATGGGCAAATTGCTTAGCAAGTTTTCTTTAATGCTTAAGGATAGTGTTGGATAAATTAGAATTAGCTAATGCATCTTTTATTTCCAAGTAGGTGTAACAAGAATGGTCTTCAAACAACAAAAGTTGAAACAAGACAAAGAGAAAATTGTAGCTCAAAGTAGATGAGGGTAGTTAGACCCTAACTCTTCCAAATGAATTCAGGCTCCAGACTGAGATTAATCACATCCCAGGTACAGAGAAAATTGCAGCTGTCAGTTATCTTTGAAAATCTACAGAAACTAGAAGGGCCATAAAATTAGAGAACAGAAAATGCCCTGATTTTCAAAAGGAGGAAAGGATGGATTACACAATTTACAGATTGGTAAGCTTCACACTGAAAATCAGTGCAGTAAGTTCATTACTTATCAAGCACTTTGTGAGCATTTTGGAAAGAATGCCTTGATCACTAGGAGCCATCCTGATTTATGTCAAATTATGTCTGTGTCATTGATAGGATACTAGGTAGGTAAACCTTCTTTTGAGCAGTTTATTTGAGAAAGTCTCCCATTATAGACTTAATACAAAGATTATGAAGTAGTGGCTGAATTAAGTATTATTGGGAGCATTCATGATTATTTTAAAAACTGGTTAATCAATAGACTGCTTCATGAACTGGAATGTCAATCTGCCCTTTAGGCATTTATATTTAAGAACTAATTGCTGCCATAGAAAGCTTACTTGTCATATCTACAGAATTAAACCCAAGACAGATGGCTAATATACTAGATAGGTTCAAATTAGTTTAGCAAGATGGGATCATGTGTGAAGACTAACAAAATAAAATTAAATAAAAAAAATATAAAAACTCATATTTGTATAAAAAAGGTAAATGGCTGATACAGGTATAATATGGGAGAGACATGGTTTGACAGAAGCTGCAATAAAAATATTATGAGAGTTTTGTTCTATCACAAGCTTAACATGTACCAGCAAAGTGAAACTACTGCTAAAAATGTTAGCATAATTGTAGGTCTCATTAGTAAATAATAATGTCCAGTTTATTGTACTCTGTGTTGCACCTGTAGTTCACTTTTTGGTTACATTTAATGAATGATCTCGACAAACCACAGAAAATCCTGAGAAGGGGGGATCAATCGCATAGAAAGAAAAATAAAGCTCCTTCATAAATGATGGAAAGGATTTTTAATGCTGCAGAAAACACTCAGACATAGCAAACTGTTTTTAATGTTGGAAGGACTTTCATATATAAGAGAAATTAAATATGAATACTTTTTGTCCCTGTGTAGCTACAGAAGATTAGGAGTAGATATGGAAACAGATATATTTAACATTAAAAAAAAAAGTTTTCTAGCAGCTGGCATTCTCCAACAATGAAATGAGCAGTTTCATTAGGAAAATACTTGAGGTATTGAAAGAGAAGTGGACTAACCATCTTTTAAGTATCCTACAGGGAATTTAATATTGGTTATGGGTGGATATAAGGATTCTAGAATATTTTACAGACATAATTCAAGACAGCTAAAGGTTAGGGTATTTTTCTAAATACAATGGACCTTTACAACAAAAAGATCTGCTAAGGTAAGAAACTCTTCAAAAGAAGATTCATCTTAGAAGTTGTCTTTAGCCCCCAGAAATTTTGAAAGGACCTTGTTGCATGCTTTCAACATAACACGGAACTTTTGGGTGGACTTCTGAGGATTCTATTTAATAATAACAATGTTGCATTTGGATTACAGTCACTCTTCCTTCTTAATAGTTAAAACAACCTTCCTGTTATAAACTAACCAAAGTTCTAGGCCAAGTAAGCATTTAAATATTGGGCTTCAGGACTGGTCTAGGTTGAATGAAGCTAACGAGAACTTCCTAGGAGAGAACTGCTGATTAGTAGACAGCTGAACCTTTGAAATTATTATTTTGACTTTGATGAGTAATCCTAGCAGAAGGTGTGATCCATTTAATGTCATTCTTACCATGTTTATTAAATTAAGGAACTCAAGCCCTAGATCTTGTGTTACAAAACTCTTCTTTAAAAATAGCGGCCACTGCTTCTCAGTCGAGTCAGAACAAGGCTTGGCTTTAGCATCATCCTGCTCCTTCTGAGGGATTTTGGTTTCATAAAATTCTTTTAAGCTCTGAAACTGCATCTCTACCTAAAAAAGAAAAAGAGGGTTAAGAACACTCAAACACATTTTTTTAAAGAAAAAGAACAGTAGATTCCAATAAAAGCCTATATAAAACCTAAAACTACATTTTCTGAATTTTTAATTTTTAAACATTTTATTTATTTATTTATTTATTTATTTATTTATTTATTTATAGAGATAAGGTCCTTTGCTCTGTCACACAGGCTACAGTGCAGTGGCACGATCATAGCTCACTGCAGCCTCCATCTCTTGGGGTCAAGCGATCCTCCCTCCTCATCCTCCAAGTATTAATAGTTAAAAACTACAGACTATAGGCACTCAACACCAGGCCTGGCTAATTTTTTTTGTTGTTTTTTTCGTTTTTGTAGAGATGAGGTCTTGCTATGTTGCCCAGGTTGGTCTCGGACTCCTGGGCTCAAGAGATCCTCCTGTCTTGGCCTCTCAAAGTGCTGGGATTACAGGCATTAGCCACCAACCCCAGCCCATTTTCAGAATTTTTAAAATAATTATTGAATGTTTTCAACTTATTGAAAAGATATAAAAATCTATTTGGATTGTTGATTGTTTGGGTAGAACACTGAGCTGACAGGTTTATTAAGCATAAAAACTAATTATTGAAGCCAACATCATATTTATAAATTCTGTGTTTGTGTGTTTTTCAATTTGGGACAATGTATGTCAAAGACCTGTGTGGTTTCATCTAAAGCCAAGTTTCATAATTCAGAAGAAAGATGCATACATAGAATCAGATAATACAAATCAGTAAGAAATACAGGCCAGTGAAAGATGATTAGTAATTAGTAAATCACGATTTACTTCTAATCAGCAATAAACCAGAATAAAAAAGTATAAATAATTCTTAATGTTCTGCCAAAGTATTAATATTAAAATGCCTCCATGAGCTAATCTCTTATTAAGGTACATTACTATGCCTCCCTGGAATTATATTTTCTCATTTGCTAACCAATATAAGCAATATTAGATCATTTTAAATCACTCTCCTTGAGCAGAGTTTATATAAAATCAAATGTGTCTGTAGACCTACAGATTAATATGTAATTGGATGATATAGAAATAGTAGAAATTATTTGACACAAGTTTGTATGCATTTTCAGTAACACCAATGCCTGACAGGACTAGATTTAAATAGCTCGTAACTCCCAACCTAAACATGGTAAGAAATCTCAGGCAATGGTTAGTCACTATATTTTAAAGATTTTAACATTGTTCTTGATTTAACTGAACTTGATAGGAGAGCCTGCAAATAGCTCTCAGAAACAGAAGCTCTCTCCTCATTTCCATATTCCACTTATACACGCCTCTACGTTTTGCTGATGCTTGTTCCCTCAGCCCAGAATGATCTTTCCTCAATTTTCCTCTCTTATTTATCCTTCATGAGCAGTTAAAATGCCACTTCCTCCATGGAGCCTTCTAAGATGCCCTAGTAATAATTAACTATTTTGGGAGGTATTCAAAGATAGTTCTAGGAGAAAGAGAGCCATAATCAAATTATTACAACACAGAGACACATACACAGACAATATTATGGGCACACTGAGGAGAGGCCACCAACTCTATATATGGAGTAAATAGGGAAGCGCTTCCCAAAGGAAGTGACATTTGATCTGTGTCTTGAGTAATTGTCCAGGGTGAGAAGGCGTCAAAGGGGATCCCGGATGGGAGGGATAACTTGTGTAAAAGTGTGAAACACTAGCTGTGAAGACACTCACTGGTTCAGAGGACAATACATGATCTTAGTGTGAGTGAAGTACAGGTTACACAAGCTGAGTGGTAAGATAAGAGACGGAGGGATATTTGTGCTGGTATAAAGCTGGCCAGCAAGTTTCAACCTGTCTCCTACTGTAACCAACATAATTGAGATACATTCTGATTAGGTTGAAACCACTGATAGATGACTCGGAATCAGCATGGCAATCATCAGGCCTTCAATAAGGTCATCCATTATATGCTGGGTGTCAATATTATGGGCAGTCAGTTATGTGCAATTCTCAAAACACAAACTTTAATTCATCCTTCTTTTCTAACTGCTCAAAAAAGCCTCCTTGAATGCAAATGAGAACCATATTATTATGGAAATTCCCTTAACTCTGTACTAGTTGATTTAGGTGAATTAATGGGAGATTTTATTCATTTTTGGTAAAAGTTATTTGCAACTTGCTTTATTACACTTGTCAAATTACCTGAATTTCAGGAGGTAATGTGATCAGATTTGCCTTAGTATGACTTTTGTTTTGCCTACAAAGGGAAGGGGAGTGTGAAGGGGTAAAAACAGGAGGCAAACTGAGCAGGCAGAAGATGACATCATTAAGCTGGATAAGAGATCATGACAGCCTGAACCGAGGAAGTGATGGTGCAAGTGCAGAGAAAGGGGAGTTCAGAAATCTTTTAGGTTGGCTCAATAAACAGATATGGAAGAGCACGGCCTTTGAAATAGGAAAAACAAAAGGGAAATAATTTGGGATGAAACTTCAGCTTTGACGTTTGCTAGTGCTTGATCTTGCATACCTCATCCTTCAGAGCCTCAGTTTCCCATATTTACAAAATGGGGATCATAGTAACTAAAACATAGGGTGCTATAAGGATTAAATAAAATCAGGAATGAAAAGCACAGTACCTAGTACAAAATAAATGCTCAGTGAGAAAGTGATTGAAAGAGACATAGAAGCTTCTAAATAGCATTCCTGAAAGGATGGTGGAGTCATTAACCCAATGCCAAAATACAGAAGGAAAAGCATATTTGAGGAAAAGCCACCAGCTGTGTTTTGCTGAGTTGGAGGAGCCTACAGGATACATAACTAACTGAAAGCACTGGTTTAGAGCTCAGGAGAGTTGGGGCTCAGGAACCACTTTTGAGTTATTGGTGAAGAAACCATAGGTGGGAATGTGGTTTTTGTAAAAAAAAAAAAAAAAAAGTGGGTACAATGTGCAAAAGAGAGGGCACATGCAAGAACTCTATGACCCACCATGCTTTAAGAACAAAAAAGAAAAGTGAACTAGGAGTAAGGACAAGGAACAGACAAAGAAGTAGATAGGATTATTCCACTTATGTGAAATATTCAGAAAAGGCAAACCTAGAGAGACAGAAAGTAGATCAGTGCTTGCCTGAGGCTGGGGGTGGGAGCCAGGACTGCCTAAAAATGTAAGCCAGTGCTCTTCTGGGGATGATGGACATACACTAAAACTGGAGTGCTATGGTGGTTGCATGATTCTATAAATATAGGAAAAATCACGACATTATGAAATATGTGAGTTTCATGCTATGTAAATTATACCTCAGTAAATCTGTTATTTAAAAAAAAAAACCCAAAGGAGGTGAGAGTCGGTAACTGGGTCAAATAAATGCTGCAGAAAGATTAAGCAGGATGAAGACTGAAAATATACTATTTCATCTGTCAACCAGTAGGTAGCTTAAAAGAATGTTTTTAATGGAGTGAAGAGGTGGCAAGTGGAAGGGTTGAGACAGGAATAAAGCGAATTGCAGTGGGACAAGGACAGGATGAGCAAGTAGAGGTGAGGAATATCTTCTTCCCATTTCAAGAGTCCAAATTTGAGCCTGTGCATCATGAAGAAACCCCATTTCTTAAAAAAAAAAAAAAAAATAGCTGGGCTTGGTGGCACATACCTATAGTCCCAGCTACCTGGGAGGCTGAGGTGGGAAGATCACCTGAGCCTGGGAAAGTTGAGGCTGCAGTGAGCTGTGATCATGCCACTGCACTCCAGCCTGGGCGACAGAGTGAGACCCTGTCTCCCAAAAAAAAAAAAAAAAAAAAAAAGGTCTACATTTGAAGAGAAATAAAATGATGGAGTGGTAGCCTTGGTGAGGGCAAGACTATATGGACATAACTGTAGAACAAAGGGAAAGAAGCAATGGAAAAGAAATCTTTTAAAAATCAGAGGATGGCCGGATGTGGTAACTCACACCGTAATCCCAGCACTTTGAAAGGCCAAGGCGGGCAGATCACCTGAGGTCGGCAGTTCGAGACCAGCCTGGCCAACATGGAGAAACCCTTCTCTACTAAAAATACAAAAATTAGTTGGGTGTGGCGGCGCATGCCTGTAATCCCAGCTACTCCTGGCTGAAGCAGGAGAATCGCTTGAATCCAGGAGGTGGAGGTTGCAGTGAGCCAAAATTGCGCCATTGCACTGCAGCCTAGGCAACAAGAGTGAAACTCCATCTCAAAATAATAATAATAATAAAATTTAAAAAAATAAAATTAGAAGATGATTGCCGGAGCTAGATGCTGAAGGATGTAGGAATATTTTCATTTATTGGAACCCATGGAGGATGGGTGAATATGTCAACAAGTTTGGAAGTCAAGGCCATTATTGTCAATGGCTTCATTTTTTTTTTTTCAGTGACATATGAGTTAAGAACATTGGATGAGATTTAGAGATAGAAACTAAGGTAATATGCTTGAGAATTGCTACCAAATGGGAACCAACTAGGGAGCATATGGGAGACCCAGCTGAGGCAGAGGCCCGTGCATTTGTAATGGGGCCAATCAGCACAATTGTATGATTTTCCACTGGAGTGTCTGGAAGCTTGGAAAGAAAGGCTGAGTAAACAGACTATTGGATTGATCTCGTATTGGGAGTTGGCAGGGGTTAGTCAGGGTGGAGGGCAGGGAGTTGACGGGATGGAGAATGGAAAGGAAATGAGTAACCATTAGCTAGTGAGGAAGAAAGGAAAGCCAGAGGAGGAGTGAAGTAATGTACGGGGAGCATCGCCAGGATTGGAAGGATGGAAGCCTCTGCCAGGTAGAAAAACAGATTTAGCAGAAAATAGAAAGCAGGAAGCTAGAATGTTCTGATTAAATTGTTGTTTGCAAAGCTAAGCCTCCTGGTCCAAAGGCCAGAGTGGATCAAAGTGGATGCTTAACTGAAAGCTGAGGAGGTTCATTTTTGGCAATGAAGATGCGGAAGGCAAGCACTTCTTTGTAGCTTCTCTACCATTTCACGTACTGCATTATAATATTCATCAACAAGATAATTCTGTCAGTTGGGAATAGTTTGGAACTTGCCAAACCATGAGAGTTTAGGGTCAAGAACTAAAAAGAACATGAAGGATAAATGCTCGAGGGGATGGGTACACCATTCTCCATGATGTGATTATTACACATTGCATGCCTGCCTCCAATCATCTCATAAATATATATACCTATGTATGTACAAAAATCAAAAATTAAGAAAAATGAAAAATAAAGAGAAAAAGCTAAAAAGTCAGAAGGGACAAACAGTTGAGTAAAAATGTAGAAAAGGATGCAGTGGTGAACTGAGAATATTATAAAGGAATTGGACAGAGGAGAGGTGTGCCGGCAGGATGGTGGTGGTGAGAGTTAAGAAGGAAGGTGTTGAGAAGGTGGAGGTAAGAAGAGGAAAAAAATCAAGCATATACTTGTCTTGGGTTGGCTCCACCCTTGAGTGAACCCTGCTGGCTCCGCCTCCCACTAACCAGCACCTCTCTGCCTGAAGAGAAGAGTGATTTATATTTGCATGGGGGTTACTAGGATAGGGGTTAAATAAAGTGAGACTCTAGGGCTTTTCTATTACTGATGCCAGCTTCAAGAAGCAATGACCTTTGAGATGGAATCCAGTGTACTAGAGGGAATATTAGAGGTTGTCTAGCATAACCAGACAAAATAAGGCCTCGGAAGAAACTCTGAGGGGTAATATAGGAAGACACATCATACAAGGCAGATTCGAGACTGAACCCAGTAGCCTGTATTTTGCAATTCTGTGTATTTCAAATGAACCACACTAACTGCTAAGGTATTCAAAAAGATCTATGGTTTAGAAGATGACTATTTTGGGCCGGGCGCGGTGGCTCAAGCCTGTAATCCCAGCACTTTGGGAGGCCGAGACGGGCGGATCACGAGGTCAGGAGATCGAGACCATCCTGGCTGACACAGTGAAACCCCGTCTCTACTAAAAAATACAAAAAAACTAGCCGGGCGAGGTGGCGGGCGCCTGTAGTCCCAGCTACTCGGGAGGCTGAGGCAGGAGAATGGCGTGAACCCGGGAGGCGGAGCTTGTAGTGAGCCAAGATCACGCCACTGCACTCCAGCCTGGGCGGCAGAGCGAGACTCTGTCTCAAAAAAAAAAAAAAAAAAAAAAAAAGATGACTATTTTGAAATAATTTTGTTGTCTGTTTAGGATATTGTAAATATTTGTAGGATATAGTAAAATTTATTCCAGTATAACTAGTTTGTTTATTTGTGCATATCCCATACTATCCACACATACAAATTTGTATATTTTTAATAAAACAACTTATTTTTTGAGCCTTTGTATGGTGCCTTGAAGAATGTGGAAAAAAACAAAAAACAAATAAACAGAATCTCAGAACCCCAAAGTCACTATGCCCAAGGGAAGGTTAAGCTTGGGAACTGGGTCACACACACAAAAACTACTTTGCTTTTGTTTCCAAACAGATAACTGTAATTTTACAGCTTTATGTCATAGACTCTACTCCCTCTTTTCACATGTTTATCTTATGTAAAATGTAGATTTACTGGGTGTGCAATAATGCATAATTTACTTTTCCCCCATGTAAAAATGTAGGTTTTCACATGTAAAATGTAGATTTGCTGAGGCTAGTCAGAGCCTCACAAGAATGTAACCAGCTGCCTCACTGCCTATCCTCCCTCCTTTTTGTTTTCCTCGTGCTTGCCCTTTCTCCTTTAAATACTGAAGTTCCCCAACCCCCCTTTGGAAAAAGCACAGGTCACAGGTGCTCCTGGGATTTTTATTTTTTCCCAGGCACATCTCAACCTTGGCTAAATAAACCTTTATAGATTGAGAACTGCTGCAATCACTCTTTGGTTTACAAGAACACAGGGCCTGTAAGTGATCCCATGCACAGGGGTAGAGGACATGGAACTACCCACCAAGGCAGAGCATATATCCCCACAGAAAGCAAGGACATGGGCAGTGGCCACCTTGCTGAAGAAGGTTAACACATAGTACTATACCTCCTCTGATGACCTCAGAAATGCCACGTAAGTTTGCAGGACTTGTGATCTGTAGTCAATGCTTTGGGCAAATAGGTTTAATTCTTCTGCTAGCCATCTAGCTTTAGAGGAAAGTGATACCATTTCATCAGATTCAAATTCGTTTTTCTCCATCATGGTTTTTGCAGCTGCTTCTAATTCATGTGATGTCTCCTGTAAAATCAAAGCACTGGAGGTCAGAAACTGACAGGGGAATCATGAACATTCACATTTCATTATCTTCTGCATATCCATCAATTATGATTACTAATTGAACTTATACCAAGAATCTCCTCAATAAAGAACAATAAAGAAAGACACAACTTCCAAAAAAAAAAAAAAAGAAGGGCACTTTAGAATGAAAATCATCACAAATTATTCTTGGTTCTATCAGCTATATTTATTTTGAGCACTCTATTTTCTGTGTCACAGATAAAAGAAAGGTTGTTTGGTATGAAAGGTTAAAAATGTTTTAAATAATTTAAATGAATTAATTATACATGAGATTGCTATTTGAAATTTAACAATACTTCTAGCAAATTCCTAAACTAATTTTATTATATAAGAGATGGCAAATTTACAAAACTTATTCATTAGTTTTTAGTTTACAAAAAGATGACATATCGATAGTGCAGTCTTATTTAAATCTCTATCTAGAAGGGCTAGTAGGGAAAATATCACATATCAGGCCTAAATAACCTAAAAAGTCAGTGACTTTGACTTGCTCAGGGATGTTCTCCTATGTTTTCTTCTGAGTGTAATTTCTGTTACGTGAACTCCAACCACTGATTAAATAGATGAATAGAAATTGTAGCCATGACGATTACGCATGTCATAGAAAGAGCCATGTAAAATTTCATGTGAGAACAACCTCAAAACCAAGCAAAATGAAAGAAAAAAGCTCTGCAGCAATGAGAGATTGCTTCCCTACTTGTGATTAATATGCTTCCCAAGTACTCCACTGAATGAAGGCAATTTTAATTTACAGGCTTTGCTTCATGATAGCACTGTGGGAAGGAGAGAAGTGGGGAATTTCTTCCCTTGTAATCTCCTTCCCATTTCTAAAATGTTTAACATTAAAAAATGAAATTGAGTTCAGACATAAGCTTTAAGTATTCTAAATAATAAATTAAAAATACCCCATTTAACAAAAAATTAGTGTGTTTGTGAGTTTCCGGTGGGGACACAGTCCATGAAGGAGGCTCTTCTGCTGAGAACTGGAGTCACAGGGCTCTTCCTGTGGACCTGGGAGAACCAACCAGAGGAGGGCACTTGACTTAGGTCCTTAAACTTTGCTGGAGCAGACAGAAACTTCAGGGCAGGTTTGGAGCTAAGCGCCATGTGAAACGGGTATGGGGGAGCTGGAGAAGGTGCTATGATGGGGGTGTGGCACTTTCTGTCTCTGAGTGTTAGGTAAGCAAACAAGGTTGTTTTTATTTATATCCTTGGAATCTTACAATAATGCACGTTGCTTCTGGTAATTTTTTGGTAACTTGCTCCTGCAGAAAAAATTGCCAATAGTCAGAGAAGCACTGTCCCTGCCTCCTCTGTCACCCCCAAAATGAAGCTTTTTTTGAGAAACTGCCCAGGCAAGAAAGGGAACCAAATGACCAATACCCAGCTGTAATGCTGACTTTCAGTGAGCACAAATGTCCTAATAAATGCATATATAAAAATAATTTAGACATGTAAGAATATGAGTTTTTAAGTCATTGTGTGCTACATACGAATTTAGAATTGTAAACCTCAAGGGCGCTAGGATTAAGTTTATAGCTATCAAATAATTTAAAAATTATATTTACAAAATTATAGCCATAATAATCATTCTCATTTTACTCACCTTAGCTTGGATATCTAGTTCCAGATATTTATTCAAAATCTTCTCTGATTCAGAACAGGTGGAGCCAACATCCATTGCATTAGAAAGCACTGGACTGATTTTCTGAATTGACATTTCCACCTTTAGGAGTGAATAATATATGGCAGTCTTAGTAATATATTTTTGCATATAGGTACACACATATGTCAGGAAGATAAATATTATTTTATAGATTCTCATTATACTTGAAATATATTTTACCAATATTAATCTAATATAGTTTTAAATATTCAGAATTTCATATTTTAATAATGCTGCTCTTCACAGGAGGTAATACTTGTGGCCCACCAACAAAGGTTATATGTGGAAAGGGATTTCTTTTATTAACAGCTGTGAGATATAAGCAATCATCCACATCCTCTAAGAACTTATCTGTATTACCTATGAAGGATAATGCACTTGCTAACACATCAACAGAGATGAATTTATCTGTGAGTGGAATGGCACCCAATTTACAGGCACATTTTAAAGGCAAGATCCAGAGCATGAGCATTGCAGTATTTTGGGAAGAGGGACTCTAGGGAAGCACCAAACCCTGGACATGTCGTAGTAAAACACAGGGGCATACTTAGGACATTTAATTGATGAACTTGGAGGACTATGATTTGATCCTCAGTGGACATGAGTCATTGACTAAAATGACCCTTGAAAGGCTCTGTTCCATTCAAGTTACATGCTTTGTCCCATTGCTCTAACTCCAGTCCATACTCCCCAGACTCAAATTGACTACGAATTGGCAATAGGACAAGTAGCAGCAGCTGAGGTCCTACTGGTCCACCACCACCAAATTAGGTTGGTTCTCAAGCTCCAGGGGATGCAGCACCACAGCTGCCACCATATTTGGAAACTCCCTGAACCCAGGCACCAGAACGAGGATAAAATTCCCAAGTTTCTGATTAATAACAGGTGAGGAGGCAATTTAAATACAGACATTGATATTTAATGTCCTCTCCAGTGAAGGGTACTAACTCTATTCATGTAAGTTCAGGCACAGAAGTCCATCGTATCAAATGAAAACATCATTGAAAATTTGAGACCCAGCCTCTACAGCAAGATTCATTAGCATCAATGCCATTGAGATATTACTAGTTTTTGCTGAAGACAAATAATTTTTTTATTTAGTCAGATTGCAGCTCCTTAGTTTTATTCCCCTTTGGAAACAGGAAGTAAAATTCTTCCATACGAAGCCATCATGTTCACTTTGCAGAGAGGATTTTCACATGTATGTTTATATGCAGAATGACTGTGTTGCCTTGCACTGGTCTAGTTCAATAAAATATAACAATGGCAATTTATTCCTTGAAAAACCTAAAACTCATAATATTTGGTATCTGTCTATATATCAATCTATCTACCTATCTATAGTCCTGGTGTTGTATGGTACCATGGTAACAGAAACTTGTGCATATTTGAACCATGCTCAGAACGATGCACATGAAAAATCCACTCTATTCCCATATGTACTTGGTTTAGTTAACACAGTACTGTGCAAAGCGGGAACTGCCTTTGTGTATATACCTACAGGCCAGAGGCACAGACAGGCCACCTGGGTCGGGGTGGTTGATGAACAATAGTGAATTACAACCGTGTCTAGTTCAATTAAAGGACCCAATGTGGAACATAAGGGCAGCCTAAGGAGACATGCCCCTGTCCTCCCACCATGCCCACATACTGCCCTACCATATCATCTATTATCACCAACTTAGATGTTTAAGTTTTAGTTGATGAAACTACCTTCCGTAGGTAACCCTCCACTGAGGCTGTTAGTTGTTGTTTCTTGAGAGCATATTCCTTGTGTGCTGAACACTGTTCGGTCAGATGATCCACTCGTCTCTTAATGCACCCCAACATCTCGTGGATGCCAGACACCTGAGAGCTGAACAGAGCAAACCAGCTGTTAATTCACTCTACCCCAATATAGAACACAGAGTATTTGAAAACAGATCTGCTTTCATGTTAGGTAGGCACTGGTAAAAGGCATCAGCTTTAGGATAATAGAAGTTAAGTAGCTATCATCTCGGTATAGCAGAAAGCAAAAACAAATTATATTCTTTTGTCAGTCAGTCCTGAGGGAAAAGATGAGTTATGGGTTTTTGCAACAAGGTCTAATCTTCTTTTCTAAAGGCTTACTTTTTAATATTTCTGTAGGATATTTTGAAAACCTGATGGCAAAGCCACAGTGTGTTTACCACGACTTTTCCTTAGGGTGTTATTTAAAAACTTCATTTATCTAAAGATGCTCTTTGAATAGAAATGTGGATCAGCCAATTAACAAAGCATTTACTAATCCAATAGGGTAAAATATTTATATAACACTAAGGTCCTTGTTCTCAATGATTATGAATGCTCAAGGCTGTATTCATTAGATGAAAACCAAGTTATCACCAACAATTAGAAATCAAATATACTTGTTGATAAAAAAAAAAGAAGCCAAGCCTCCCATTATCATTTTTTCGCCTGTGCTGGCCTCATGAGACAAAGAAAAGTGACATGAGAGCTCCCGCAACGAAAATGCGTCTAAAACAATGCATGAATTTTGAGTTGGACCCTACCTCTAGTCCAAAGATATCTTAACAGGTTTCCTAATATTGTTGAGGGAATGAACACTTTTAAATTTTCCAACCTATCCCTAAGACTATTTAAGAAGTTGATGTCTTTCATTTCCCCTCAGTCATTTCCTTCGCATACTGTATTAATAAAGATTAACATGATAGCTCTTAAATTTAATTACCGAGAGTTTAAAAAGAGCTCAGAACAAGGTACAGGTTTCAGTCAGTTTACCTCAAAATAATTAATTTATGACTCTGTAAAAATGAATTTAATTAGTAATGAAATGAGGGCAAGATCCTAAATGACTGAGAGGTAAAGTAACCTCACTGGAGTGATGACGAGGCCGCTATAGAGCTGGAAAACACTGAGGTGTGTCTTGTGGACCACAGGAGTCTCAGATACGTTTAATTGGAGGAAAATATGAAACCACTATGAGTAATCTTATTCATGACACATAATGTTTCACAGATGTTACATTTTAAACATTTAGTTTTGCATTTTAATATGTAGAGACAGTGAAGAATATAATCAAGACATCAGGAGATTCTTCTCATTTATCATTAAGAAATAGTTCTTAATAACACTAGATTCCATAATTCTACAAAAGCAGTGTATTGGTGATATGAATCGTATTTTGACTAGGCTTTAGACTTTGAAATATTGTATGCTCAAAAGGCATTTAAAAGCCCAGTTTTCCTGTACACTTTAGGCTCCAAGTTTTCTGCAGAATATGGAAACCTGGAATGAGAAAAATAAATTGAATAAGGGGCATTGTGGAAAGAAGGTACAGAGAACAAAGGTTGTGAAAGGAAATGGGCAAACACACAGAGAAGAAATATAGCTGAAAGTGGCAGAAAATGCCATTACTAAAATAAAAGGAATTTGGAAATGATTAATACAATTAAGAAAGAAAAGCCAAGATAAAAAGGTGGCCACTCTCACCTCTGAGCTGCCCTGTGTGGTCCTACCCCAAATGCCCTCGGCAACCATTCCAGTTAGGGGCTATTTTACCAACTAAACTTAGAACACAGGCCTCCCTGGTCCCAAGAAGCTGTAGCTTGAAGGGGAGTCCAAATTCTGAATAGGCTACTCCCTGGGGGAAACTAGATCTCAGTAACCAGCTCCAGCCAAGCCTCTTGATTCCTGTTCACATTACTCTTCATTCCCTGGCCTTCTCCAAAGAATAAGACTGTTAGCCAGCTTCTTGCAGTTATCTGTAAGTCCTAGCCATGATGTCTCAGGTACCAGAAGTACCAGAACTCAGACCCACTCTCTGACTCTCACCTGAACTTGCTCTAGCATCTCCTCCCCCTCCCAAATTTCCCACTTGAATCCCTACTTTGTCTCAATTATGATGCTCTAATTCAACACTCACACTAAGCCCAGCCTCCTCTTCGGCTATTTGAATCTAAAATGAACTCTCTTTCTAAAATGGCATCACTCGATTGTACAGTGTCATGGAAATATAGATTATAGATGCACACTTCTTATACATTTGCATATAGTCATAATAATAGCTACTATTTAATACATTCTTGCACCAAACTTGCCACTTTGTTAAGTGCAATAGATGCATTATTTGATAGAATCCTTACAATAACTTTGTGAAGTGTCAGAAAAGCAACAATAACTTCAATTTTTAGCCAATGAAACTGAGCCTTCACAGGTGACATAACTTGCCCTAGAGACACACATCTAGTAAGTAGCAAAGACTTGATTTAATGTCAAGTCTCTCTGCTACCTGAATAGATAGACTTAATATACTTAACAATTTTATTGATTTAATGATTAGTTATACATCTTACCTTCAGGAAATTTAAGGAAAAACAGATTACATTGGTTTAGTTTTTACCATAAAATGCCATAACTAATAAAAACAGTTATTGAGCTCTTACTGTGATAAGGCACCATTCTTAATGTTTTAAGTAGTCTCTTTTCTAATCCTCATAACAACCCTATGAGCTGAGTAGGACTGTTATCCCCATTTCGCAGATGAGTAGACTGAGGAACAGAGAGAGTCTCAGTAACTGGCCCAGTTCTGAAATGGCTGACATCTGATCTCAGAGTTCACACTCTACCACCTCATAATGCTTTTTCTGGGTCTATGACACATGACTTGGGGTAGGGAGTATTTTGTCCTCTAAAATTTCACTTTGCCTTGAGTTGAGTGTTCTTGGCTGTCGTAGCAAGTAGAAACAGGGGTGGCCTGGCTGACGTGCTCTTTTAAAACTGGCTGGCTTTTCCAGGTAATGCGATGCCTGCTGCAGTTTTCCAAGTGGCCACTAGAGGGTCATGGTAGCTTGTTCAAATTACAACCTGTCTTGACGGTCCCTTCAGCACAAAAAATAGGTAAACAAAACCAAACCAAGCATTCCTTCCATAAAAGTGTTGTTTTTTAAAGAACCTACCATTTTAATTTAGGTAAATTACAACCAACCATATAGGATCTCTCTATCTCTCTCTGTTTTTCAGTAACCTTGGAGATTCTGTCTCATTTTGTGGTGATTTATGCCTTATCATGTGTATCTATTGCGTTGTAAATTCTTTGAGGGAAATAAATGGTGTCCTATTTATTCTTATATCCCTTGTAGCCCTGAACACATAGCCTTTTAAGTAGTCGAATATCAATGCCCATTTTCAAATAAAATAAAATAGTCTCTGGTCATTATTTAAGGGAAGAAAACACATAGATTTAAAGATTGAGAAGAATATACGCACAGTTACCATATTTGAAATGTCATAGTAACAGTGTCCAGCAGTTTTAAACAATGATGACTTGCACTTTTGGCCACTTGTAGAAGTTTTAGGCTATCCAAAGACTGCCCAATTTCTTCTTTGGTATGCTTTGGCATTTATAGTTAGGTTAAACCAAATTTATCATGTGTAGTTTGGCTCGATACTTCCTTCTATTTAAAGCCTTAGAGGGACAGACTGAACTGCCTTGTCATTCTGTGCATCACTGCCTGTCCTGTGTGTACTCCATTCTCACATGTGGCTTAGATCCTTTTCTTGGGAAGAGAAGTTTCCATTCATCTTGGTTAATCTAGCCAGTTCCCATTTCCCTCTCTCTATGCCCTTATAACTTGGTCATCTCTGTCTGATTGGGCAGTAACCAGTTCCTTTTCTCTGATTCCCAATTGGAAGATATCCATCACATTCCCAGTCCTAGGGCTTTTTCTATTTCTTCTTAGTGACATCCTAATCTGCAGGTTACATTCAGCCCTGATTCCATCCTTTTCCATTAGAAACTTTATACGGTGATACCAGACTTTTCTTTTGAAAGTTCTAAAACATTTTAAAACCTGCATAGCATGCATATTGACAGTTTCCTCAGCACCTGAATGGCAGGTGGTCTGATCAAAGGAAAGGTATGACCCCACTCTTTGCCAGCAATTCTTACATGAACTGAAAATAAATTAATAGAATCTCATCAGTCTCCCAGAAATGAGTCCTATTACTTTACAATCTTATTAAATTAACGACAAAACTTGGTTGAACCAAAAACGTGGTGCCCTGTCATTTTGTTCTGATTTGGAAGCAACACTGCCCATGTGCAGTCTGATTGGGTAGGAGAGGGGCTAAAAATGGGCTAGACTTCTAGCTCTAACAGTCTGTGGCTCTGTGATTTGCATTGGAAATATTGATTGACCTTTGGGCTGTCTCTGTAAGAATGGATTAGAGGATGCCCGTCTGTAGTGTGAACATGCGGTACATCAGATTATTCCTGATGTTGACTTCGACTTTTCCAAGCATCACAGACTGTGAAGGCTTCTTCAGGCATTTGTTAGAAACTCCAAATGAGAACATTCTCTCCCTTACTCATTCAGCCAATAGAGGGGAGTGGAGGAGGAAGAAAAATAATTACTTTTTTTTTTTCTCAAAGAGCAGAGACTTTGGTTCAAGAATAGGCTGTTCTATTTACTGTATGGAAGCTGTTGCCTTATCTTTGCATTTGTTGTAAATTGGGGCTGGAGGAGGGGAGCAAATTCCAATGTTAATGTGTTCTAATGATTTTTTCTGAAGAATGGCAAGTTGCTTTCAAACCTTTCATAAATTACTATTGTCAGCCCATCTGGATTAGGAGCTGAACCAGATGGTAAGCACTTGACAGCTTACTCTGTCTCATTGGGAGAGATCAGCTGACCATATTTTTCTTTTTGTCTATGGACAAATTATACTTTGAAGATGGAAAAAAATCTTCCTTATCTTTAGCTTGCTGCTTCTTTTAACGGGAACCTGAAGAGTGTCTTTTTATGTTTATGGTTGTCTTTATTTTTGAGGAAACAACTGCTGCTCTCTCCAGTTTTCATCCCTACTTTGAAAAGG